CTAAATCTCCCTGAAACCTGACATTAAATCTCAAATTTGACATCAGAGGCAGCTGTGATCCGTGTTTTATATCTCTGTAATGAGATATTTTCTTCTGTGCAGGTCTGGTCTTGTCACTGTCAAGGAGTCAGTAAGTTTCAAACTGAAGTTTTAAATCTAATTTGCATGTTAAAAATAGTAGTTAACAACTGATTTCCTTGTCTCCCATCTCTCACATAACAGGATGTTCAGAGATTAACAGACTACTTGCAGGTAAACCAACCAAATAATTTGTGTAAAAAGTGCATCCTATCCTGTTGTGTGTGTTCTTTAAAGCAAGACTATGTCACTTTTGATTCCACATTATTCCTCTAATAAATGAAAAGTTAATTAAATATATAATCAATAAAATACATCCTTTCTTAGTAAAACACACTTTTATTTTACTGATAGTCTTACTTGGTCTTGTATGACCAGTTGCTTACAGTATCGTGGCTAATGTTAGCTAGATTTTGCTGTGTTACTGACATTACTGAAGAAAGTTTGTGACTCTTCAGTACTTGTGTTACTCTTACACTACCATTTACCATTATCAACATAACTGTCTGTTAGATGTTGTTTATCTGAAGCTACTTAATTTGGTATAACTTATAGTGGCTAATGTTAGCAAACTTTAGCTAGATTTTGCTGTGTAATTTAAATTACTTAAGTACATTTGTGACCTATACTGTGTGATGTCAGTTTTCATTCATTAGGCTACACGAGATGATAACTGATGCAGTGAGCAGGATTTATTCTAAATATCAGGTTAACACTTTAACAGAAGATGCTGACTGACTGCAAGCTACACTTGGTATTTGCATGTTGTTGTAGCTGTCTCTCTTCAGCTGTCTGCTGTTTTCTGTCAGGAGGCCCTGTGGAGAGAGGAGGCTGTGAAGAAGAAGCTGGCAGCCCTCCAGGAGAGTACATCAAACCTCATGAACTTCTCGAACACAATATGGACAGTAAGAATCTCCATCTGCATGCACAGGCCATTTACTTTAAATCAAACACATCCTCAGTGTTTCACAGTAACAGATTCCAAATACCAAACACATATTTTTTGTTTTATGAGGTCATGTTGTTCTTTGGTTCTCTGGTTGAAATTACACTGAAAATGTCTGTAACATTTCACGTACACAGCAGTGTACAGCTGCCGCCACCTCAGGAAGGCCTATGCAGTCTGTGGTTTGGAGCTTCCTGCTTCCGCTCTAGCTTATACTGCATAGGACTAGTGCAAGCTGTTATTCATATACAGGAAGGCGTGGCTCAGTAGCTATTATAGGTGCCATGCATCCTCATTAGCTCTCTTTTGGCTACTCTGGCTGTAATGAATGAAGGGGAAATATTGGTATTTTCCTTTTTGTTTTATTGTTTTTTAATTTGAACCGCTGAGGATCTCGAAGTTTATTTACTTTAAATTATTTATGCTTTTCATCTGTGAAAATTGTTTTTCACTCAGGTATGTTATCATCGGGCAACTTATATGTTTTTTTCCCTCCACACTCACAAACTGTGTAATGTAACAGCACATGCAGAAGACGTGATCTTCACTGATGCTGCACCTTTCCTTTCTGCGCCAGTGAGCGCAAACAGTACACAAACCATTCATTTTCCATCTGCATGTTACAGCTTGACATTCAGTCATTTCCTTTCTAACCCACACAGGCTCGCTGCAGTGAAGACATACTGAGAAACAAGATCAAGGCTCTGGAGGCGCAGCTGCAAGTCTGCCTGCAGGTAAGAACAGCAGCTGGTGGTAAAGAAGAAACCACTGAGCGTTACATATGCAATGGGATTCTTTTTCATTTTATTTCTTTGCAACAACCCAAAAGAATCCTAAAACAGCCACTACTGCTCTGCACTTCCACTCTGTCATGCAGTACTGGTGCAGTGTCTATTGAGCATCTTCGCCTGGAAGCATTTGTAGGTTTGACTCAGCAGTGTTTTTGTCCTTATAACAGAAGTTTCCGAGGGATGGAGTGAAGAAACTGGTGCTACAGATGGAGAAGCAGAAACTTATGTATGAGGAGAAGGCCCTGGTCACCCTGCAGAAAGCCACGCAGGACAAAACGGAGGCGCTCAGCAAGGCTGAGACACTGCAGGTCAAATGTCTATAGCTTGTCTATAACCAAAAAATGCAACGTTTCTATTTTAATAAAGAGAAAAACACGTCAATGTCACTGACATATTTGTGTTTTCTGGAGATAGATGTGTTCTGCTGGTGTGTGAAAAAGTCAGATTTAATGCAGTGTCAATATTGCAGCTGAATCTTAAAAAGATACTTTGTCTTTGCCACCAGGATGCGCTAATTACAGCAAAGGCAGATGCCATGAGGTGGCAGAGCCTTTATGAGGAGCTGAAGCTGACCTCTGGACAACTCAGGGAGAATCATCACCTTAGTAATGACCAGTTGCAGCAGCTGCACAGCCAAGTGGAGGTATGATATAGTCTGTGACCACGTGGACGGCCAGAAGTGTCAGTGTAAATGGTTGTGAAAAACATATGTGTCCTGTGCAGCTGTCCAGAGCCAGAGAGGCCGAGCAGAGAGAGGAGGTGGCGTCATTAAAACAAGAGAAGAATGAGCTACAGTACAACATTTGCCTGCTGGAAGAGGACAACCAGGCGTTAAGAGAGGAAATCCAGAACCTTAGAGGTAAGACACTCATGTTTTGTTTCCCTGAACCTGCAAAAGTTTAACGTGAAGCCATCATCGGCTCTATCTGGCAGTAATTCTGCAAACAGTACTCTCTGTAGCATTTAAAATACTGGAGAGGCAACATGGATCATTAATTTAAACTGCTCTTTGTTTCATAGATTGCAGCAATGAGAACCAGGACTTCATGATGCAGGGGCATCTGAAATCAGAGGAAGCAGAGCCGAGACTGTCGGTGAGGAGAGACTCTCAGTTGGAGGAGCAGCTCCATCACACTCAGGAGAAACTCCGACTCAAAGAGAGAGAGGTAAAGTGGAGATATACTGTGGGACATTCACAAGCCTAATGGTTTGTTTGATCATGAACAGGCAAAAATTAGTGTTTAACAAATTAAGCGATAAGGATAATATCCCTGTCTATTTTAAATATATTTATCAAAATGCATTTCATACTACTTGCCATCGTTTCTGGAAAGCATTTCAAAGATAATAGTACATTTTGCCATTTAAGGCTTACACACATCTTGAAAAATGTATTTCTGAAGATCACCTGCATTGTAAATGTATTTCGAATGAGTTATGGCCAACTATGACCCACATACGTGTCCCTTTCGCATGGTGTGTGTGCGCGCAGTGCGAGGAGCTGCAGGCAGAGCTGCATGCTGTCGAGCAGGAGTGTCAGTCCAGCCAGGCCCGGCTGTCGCAGTGCAGAGACGAGCTCCGGCAACTCAGCCACCGCCGCAGGAGGCCGGTGAGCAGTGTGTGTGTGTGTGTGTGTGTGTGTGTGCATATGGGGGAATTTGAAACTAAATGCCCTTGCCATACTCAAATGTTCTCATTTGCCCTTGCATTGTCTGCCAATAATTCTGAATGGTTTTACACTTTCAGCACCAATGTCTTTTGCACTTTGTGACATTTTGCTTCATTTGTGCTGCAGTGACCACCAAATCCTACAACAATACATATACATACATGAGTACAAATATCCAATACATAAATACACACACACACACACACAGATATATATATATAAACATATACATACTGTATTATATTTTATATAACATTTCTTCCCTCTTTGTTTAGACGCTGTGTGGCTCCTGGTGGAAGGTGTGTGTGTTTTTCCTTCTACTCCTTGCTGTGGCAGGGGTTGCCATGTTGTGGCTGTGGCATCCTCCTTTCCGGGAGCAAGCTGAAGACCTGTACTCAGACATAGAGACACGTATCGAAGAATATCTCATGAAAATGGCCTCTCCTCAACACTCAGGCTGTTTTAGGCCAATATGATAATGTCACTGCTCAAGGAGTATTATTTTTGTTGCTTTTGTTTTAAAGATTCTTTTAGGATGAAGTCTGTTGATGGGATAATGTTGTGTTGACATGTGTAGGATGTTTGCAGGATATTCAAATACAAGTGAACACTTCCAGTGTGAAAAAAGCAGCAAGTTTTTTTGTAATGTTTGCAACAATGAAAAGCACACATCAGCTGACAAGCTGGCTGACGTTAACAACATTTTAAGAGACTGTGAGTCGACAATGTGAACAATATAGGAGTAGAAAAATAGCAAGTATCCTTTGTACTGTAAACAGCTTTAGTCAAAAGCGCCACTTTGAATGATTCAAAAAGCCATATAAAACATAAAAAGCATTTAAAATACAAAGACACAACATCACTGTAATTCTTTCAGCTGTGATGGAAATAGCATCAGTGCTATGAGGTATCGGGTGTTGTTTTAGAGTCACTCTCAAGACAGGAGAGTAAGCATTCAATCAAAGAGCTAGTAGAGTCTTATATTATATGAAATAAATAAAAATTGTTACCACAACAAATGTTACCGTTTATCAAGTTTTCTTTAAAAATATTATAAGCCTTGGTGAAATCGAGTAGAATAAAGTGTCATTGTGCTCTGGGTTAAGTTTAACACAAGATACCTGAGATATCCATGGTGAAGGTATCAGAATGGACAGTTTTTTGGATGCATCTATGCATTTCAAACAAGGAAACACAACATGGGTCTCCGCAGACATCATTTACTGTCTCAGCTTTACAATGGTATCACTGATTAGTGGTGAACTATCGTCATCATCCACTGACCAACATTCATTCCACTTTGGATAAGATCTCATACTACTCAGTGACTAAAACCTTCCTGTGTCCCACTGGAATAAAAAAATCCCAACGTTTCCATGTCAATATATTGTAAGTAATAAAAGTGAAATGTGTTCAAAAGACTGCCTGCATCATAGAATGTTTTTTTCACTATCTGAGCTGCTTCAACTACTTTATGTAAGTAAACAAGCAATAATTAACATTTGTATAGTCACAATTGTTGGAAGACATTTTGAGATCCTTTACTTAGGTAAAAGTAGCAAATCTACACTGTGAAAATACTCAATTACAATTAAAAGTTCTGAATTTAGAATCTTAAGTATTACATCATTATCATTACTGATGGATACATGTGCATATAAGCAGCAGATTAATATTGTAGCCAGTTGAACTGGAACAAATTTTAACTACTATATACTATACTGCTGGACAGTTTAATCTATAAAAATGCAATGTATTTGAAGAATTCCTCATGTTTTACATGTAAACTCTTAACTTGCAAAGTAATTACAGCTGTCAAATCAATGTAGTGAAGTAAAAAGTACAATATTTGCTTTTGTCAAGTGTATCCATACTGATTTATACTTTCATCATTAGTACATTGGCAACACGTTTCATGAGAAGAGCTACTATAGCATGAGAAGTGTGCAGTTTTAAATATAGATTTGAAATTATATCTTTTATTTTGGTTTCTCTGGCTTATATCAGCATCAGTTGTCTCAGTAATGCAATGCGCAGCACTATGGTAACTACCAGCTGCTCGTGTCTGTGCTCAAATGACAGAACGAAATGTCGTAAATTCTACACAAATGTTCATGAAACAAACAGACATGACACATGGCAACCTTCTATTGTCCGATTACACTCAAACTTACAGACAAAACACAATTGTTCATTGTATTCAGTGGTTTTAACTGTTCCAGATAAAGCTCCATTCTCAACAGGCACTGACACAGCACATCCACCACACAGATCCACAGCCCCTGTCTTTCACCCACGTTTACCTGCATGTTCCCCAAAACACACCACAGGCCATTGAAGAGATGGATCTTTGCTGGACTGGGGTCAGTCTCCTGGTGAAACTGGCACCGAAGGTAAGAGGCTGTGGGTGTATATGGGCGATGAAGGTTTGGTAACATATTTCACAATATATGACAAAGAGGATCTTGCCAAACTCTCCTTTACTTACAGAGCGATAACCCTCTGCGAGATGAGGACTGTAGTTCTGCTGGTTGTTGTGGGGTTGTGTGTGTGGAATGTCACATCCTCCCTGAAAATCTGCGCTTTCAATGTTCAGAGCTTTGGTGAATCAAAGGCAAACAACAAGAAGGTTATGGGGATTCTACTAAAGGTACTCTACTGTATGTGTACTACAACCAGAGCAACATCCACACATAGCTAGACACCTGACAACTTTTTTCCTTTTGCTCCCAAGATTCTTTCTCGGTGTGACTTGTGTCTTATTCAGGAAGTCCGGGACTCTAAAGGAAAAGCAATTCAAGCTTTGGTTAAGGAGCTTAACAGGTACAAGCTTTCATGGGTTTAAAAAACGCAGATTGAAGCATCTGGTGAATCCTTTGTGACGTTAAACGGCATCCAATCATCACCTTCAATTTATCTCATTTATGCTGATGTCACCAGATTTGACAAATCCAACTCATACTCCTATGTGGAAAGTGAAAGGCTGGGGAGGAAGACCTACAAGGAGCAGTATGTCTACATATACAGGTAACCCATGTCACACAGAACACATTGCTGTTAATGGTCAGCTAAACATGGTATCCTTAACGTCGTCTTTTTCCTCTGTTGTCTTCTCCAGGAACAATGTGCTGCAGGTCAAGGAGCATTATCAGTACCGTAAACTAGAAGGAGAAGGGACCAATGAAACTGATGTTTTCTCCAGGCAGCCTTTCATCGTTCGCTTTTACTCCCCTACTACATGTGAGATGAAACAAAAGGCATCTGTGGAATTATACAGGAAAAGAATTGCACATTAGTACACACTATTACGGCAGTTATGATCTGGGGCTGTTTTTAACAAAGATAGACTTTGACTATGACTTATATCCAACTAATAGTAAGGCTTCAGATGGATGTTTAAATCCACCCGTTGAACAAAACTGTGTAGTTCTTGACTTTCTTAAGTAGGACTAATTTGACATGACGTTTGGGTGAATTAAATTAAATTAAAATTAAAAGCATCTTTCGTCAAACTAATAACCATCGCTGACAACAACATCAAACAGCTCAGCTCCAGTCACTCCAGCAAAAAATTCTAAAATAACAGTTACAAGGACATTTTACTGGTAAAACTCAGTAAAGAGTGTAACAATGCAAAAGCTTCCAGTAGCATAAAATCTCCCAATTTGGTGCCAAATGGTCAGCAGGTGGCACTGATTGTTACCATTGAAATACTTGTCTTGGTTCAGAGGTAGTCTTGTGTGTGTATGTATGTATGTGTATGTATATGTATGTCATATATATATATATATATATATATATATATATATATATATACACACATACATACATACACACACACACACACACACACACGCACATATACACACACAGATTTGAACACTAGTCCCACACTGGGACACTAGTCTGTATGTAAACACATTCATTGTAGACGTGGCCTAAATGTCTTGCTTTTTGTTTTTTGCAGTGGTGAAGGATTTTGTCCTGATTGGGCAGCACACTTGTCCCAAAAGTGCCATGAAGGAGATTGATGAACTGTATACAGTCTTCATAAGAATTTACAACAAGTGGAAGACTGACGTAGGTTAAACCACATCATCATCATGATTATGTGGGGTTTATTTGGTCAATTTGGTCTTTTTTTTAATTATCTATATCTTGGTTAGACTTCCTCAGCTTAGCCTCATACTTCCACATATGATCAAGTATATGAGACATTTCGATCTGCTGAACTTCCCTTTTTGCTTCCTTTCGTTCACCCAGAACGTGATGATCTTAGGGGACCTCAACGCCGGCTGCAGCTACGTCACCATCAAGGGCTGGAGAGCAATGCGCTTGAGGAGTGACCCCAAGTTTCGCTGGCTGATCGGAGATGAGCAAGACACTGCTGTCCGTGAGAAGATCCACTGCGCCTACGACAGGTCACTTACTACTGGAAACTTATTTACCGGTACTAGAATACCCATCATGTCAGACAATAATGCCTTACAGTATGTTTTTTAACAGGATCATTGTCCATGGACGTGAGATTATTTCCTGTATAGTGCCAGGTTCAGCTCAACCGTTCAACTTTAAAGAGCATTTCCATCTCACTGAGGAGGAGGTAAACGAGTCAGAAATATACCTTTCATTAGTCAGTTATATACTTAAATTGACCATTAATTCTGTTCTTCTGCCGGCACTTTAGGCTCTTGAGGTCAGTGATCATTTTCCTGTTGAAGTTGACCTGAAGCCCAACCACCGCTACCTCCTACGCAATGAGCTGTAGACTGCTCAGGACAACAAACCAGGATGTCTTGATTTTAACTGTAGTTTTACCTGATTTTAGCAAGTAAAAAACATATATATTCACTGATAACAAGTGTTCTGTCATGATGACTCCAACTAAACTCTAAATCAAAGTGGCACCGCGCTCAACTCAGTTATGTAAGACGCCAATAAACATGAGTAGTTCAGCGTGAGGGAGCTGCGTGTTCAGCTGCTGGAGTTTATATTGTGCATCTGAAACCAAAACCACATCAAAGCTGACATCATTTCATGAGCTCATGAAGGTATGTTCCTGCAGCAACAGACAACACAAAACGATACTTTTGTGATTCCTCTTTTTAGAGAGACTTTTTGTACGCCTTTTGATTATCTTCAGTTTTACAGTAGGCTTTGCAGAATATACACATTTGTAGTCATTTATCTAACCAGATATATCAGTTTGAACGTGTAATTTATGCACCATCTGTTTGACAGGAAGCCAGTTGCAGCGACAGCAGATGAGATACCTCGCACACTCTTCCTTTCTGCGCAGAGAGATCATCCGTGGCAATGCATTGTTTGTCTTGATATAACCTCCTAATATATGAACTATTGTTTTTGCCATTTGCAAACATGGAACAGAGTTTTGCTGATCTACTTTGTGATGCATTTTCAGGTAAGAAATATGTCTCTGCACTGTGGTACTTATTACTATATTTATTATTTAAGTATTTTATTTTCAAATGATGATGTTGTTACAGAAACATCTGTTCCATCATTCCCTGATGGGGATTTGGACTTTGAGGATTTAAATTTTGCTGACAAATTTGAGGAAGACAAAACAGACATCTTTCAACAAAACTTACCAACAAAGGAAGACGTTCCTCTGCACCAGGAAGCAACGGGTCAGACTGCAGTTTTGTCTAGCAAAGAAAATAAAGATATATACATGGCTGAAAATGTTGGCAAGGAGCAGTCTGATGATGAAAACCATGAGGAGGATTTTGAAAGTGCAGGGGTCATGGGCATGGACATAACCCCGGAGGAGGATTACACAAGCTCAGACGGGGATTCTGAACAGGATGGTTCTGTCTCTGGAGAAGGTGAAGAGGGTGAGGAAGAGGATACGGGAACAGAAGAGGAACCTGGGGATTTGTTGATGTCGATTTGCTGTGGCAACGAGCTCTGCAATGGCAATAAAGAGGACAGGATCTTTGATGAGGGACAACCTCTGGCCCCAGAAGGTGCTGAAAACCCTCAAGTTAGAAACGAGGAGCAAGGGGAGAGGGAGAGTGATGAGGAGGTGTGCTATTCTGAGAGAGTCCCTGAACGTGGCAGCGAGAGGACGATGAAAGGTGACGGGATTGAAGTGGATGAGCAAGAAAGGGAAGAAGAAAAGCAAGCGGACTCGTCTGATTCTGAATGTGAGGGCATGAAAATCTTTGAGCTGGAGGCTGACCATCCTTCCAGGGATGGCCCAGCAAAAGCCGGTTTGGAGTTTCCAGAAATATCAAAGCAAAGTCAGCAGGATCTTATTGCTGAATTTGATAGTGGGGAGTATGAAGACAAAATGATGGATTTCTCAGGGGAGGAGCACCAAGAGGCCGGTGAGAGCTTTGCAGATTATCCCTCAGACTTTTCTTCATGTGAATATGTAGAAGACGGAGGCAAAAATCAAGAAAGCAAAGACCAGTTGAACTCCTTGGCTTGTACGTCTGACAGCAGGTCAGTTGCAATGTGGAACACCTGCCTGGAAAGAGCTGTGGCGGGTGTAACATGGACGGGAAGAGCTGGGGACACTGACGAGGAGGGAGACGAGTACCTGTACAGCAGAGATTTAGAGGTGGATGCTGATCGGTTCAGGAGCCTGCGCGTGGCAACTGGAGAAAAAGGCAGAGGGGAAATAGACATTGTTGAGCGTGTGTTGGGCGACGCAGTGCTGACAGGGAGTGATGATGGAGGCGAGACAGGTGAGAGTGATTCCTACAGCTCCAGTGAGGATGAGGTCCAAGTAAAGGGGAGCGATGAGGATCATTTGAATTCGTACGATCATATTGAAAACAACAAGCAACCGAAGGAGACTCAGTTTCATGGTGGGAGCAGTGCAGCGTTTGCCAGGTGGAGCAAATCTGACGACTACAACAGAACAGATACAGCAGATTTCAACATAAACTGGAATCTAGACGTGTTAACGGCTGACACCCATCTCTTTGAGGACCTGTTAACCACAGAGGACACAGACGAAGCTGAAACGCCGCTTTCAGATGTGACTTGGCGTCCTGCAGAAGACGTCAACAGCTACTCAGCGGTAAAGAGAGGGGATGCAAAAACCACAAGTCCGTCTAACCAGGGATCCCTGGATGATAGCTTCTTCTTCACCACTGAAATTGAAGCCTCTGGGACCACTGAGCTGGGACAGTTGGGAGACGACGAGGACGAAGAGGAGCGGAACTGGGAACAAGAGCAGGAGAGAATCAACGCTTTCTTCAAGTTTTACGATGACAGCGACGGAGAGACTGGAAGAGAAGGTGAGTGAAGAGGAGAAGGGTATAATCTTTACAACACTGATGATTTTAAAGTGTTGTACACATTCCACGATTCATCAGCTTCCATTTGTGCATTTTTATAGGGAGGCAGATAAAAGTTAAGTTTTGTGCAGATCCACTGTCTCAAGTCATTCACTATGAAACGGACAGGTAAGCAGAATGCCTAGTATGCATCAACTTTGAACAATAACTAGAACCTGAGCTGCGACAGATCCAAACGAAAAAAAAAAACTGTGCCTGCTTCCTCCTCTCTCAGCAGTGACAGAGATTCACTCAGCAGCTCCACAGACAGGGAAGAGGACCTGAGCCCTGCAGACACATCTGAGGTTTGCATGTGGACACACATACACACACACACACAGGCTATATTTTTTTTAAAACTTCTTTGCCTTTGTTCAGGAATTGAGGGAGCCTGAAGACACCACGCAAATAAAGCCGGCTTGTGATCCCCCAAACACTCAGCCACCAGAGAATGTGCCAGATGTCAGCAACACACACATTTGTGCCAGGAAACATAAAGTGTGTACTACTCACTGGCCTTTACTGAACCTTCATATAGTTAATTTGTTCCTCAAATGTTAGGCTACTTTTACCTCTCTATCCTGTCCTTTGTTCCTGCAGTTTGTCAACATGCTGAAGCTGATACTGAAGATGGGTGTGGTGATAGTGATGGGACTGCTGATGTTCTGGTTGGTCACAGACCAAGTAGGCTGGTTCAACCAAATGTCGTTCTTTTAGGGCAAAACCTACTTTTTGCTCCTTAAAACCTGCTTAAAGATGATATAAATAAAAATCCAAATTGACAATATTTTCTTGTAAGAATGTGATGTGATGTGCTATGCATTATGGACTTGCATTCCATTATCTGTAATATGCAATTTTGTGCTTAATAAAGATCTATCTTTGTTTACAACGAAGCTGGCGTATTTATATAAAGGCATCTAAAATGTGGTGGACAGTGCATTTATTTTACTAAAACAATTTTGAGGTACTTATACTCGATAAATAAGTTTTCTCATTCTATTTTCTGCTCCTACTCATCATCACATAGGGAAATGTTGTTTTAACAATACATTTTACTTTTTAGTATTGGATAGTTACTTGACACTTTGCAGATAGAAGTTTTAACGTATAAAACTAAACTAAAAGGATACATTGTTACAGATTAAACCATGCAGGAGTATGTAGTTAAAGTGGTTAAAATGAGTTGTGCTAAGCCTGCTAATGCTTAGTAATAATCTAAAAAATAATATGACACCCTAAAGATGGCCAAAAGAAGAATAAAAAGAGAACATGCAACTGCTCACGAGAACACGCTTCACGTATTTGAGTCGAACCAACAACCTCGGATGCGAAAGGCGGACACGCAGACAGAAGAACTAAACCCCATGACCGCTGACATCAGTCTCCATGAGTTTTACTCACTGCACAGCCTCGCTGGTTTCTATCATACGGGCGTTTAGCAAAGCCAAAACATGTGTGTCCTTTTTTGACTCTCCATGTCACAGTGTTTGCAGGTAGAGTAACACACATGGTCACAAAGTCAGCGGGATCAAGAAAACAGTCCCGCGCAGGTCTCTAGTGCACAGGCTGTGCTCTCCTGATGACGATGAGGAGCTCTTGTGGAGGCAGGATAGCAGACAGTCGTATGAGCGAGGCTGCAGGAGCGGGTTGTGGCAGCGAAGTTGGCAGATTCAGAAACTAGAAACATTATAGTAAGAACTCTGTGGTGTCTGAATCTGCCTAGTTTACTAGAAACATTATAACATTATATATATATAATGTTTCTAGTTTACTAGAAACATTAGCGTTAGTCAGTATTAATCAGTATCCTGTGGGTGGCGCTGTTTAATTTCTGGAAAGAAACAGAATAATAAAAAAGAAACCATAAAAAGAAGAATGTGTCCAACGGAAACGGAAGTGATGTACCATTTGACTGAAGGTGCGAATGTTTTAGACGCTAAGTCAAACAAGCGAGGGCGGGGTTACGTCTCCCCACGCTTCCAAGCTGCCGTTTGGCTCCGCAGAGGGTCGTCCGTGACACACGCGCAGCTAAACGAGCCTCCGGTCGTTATCGGTGGGAGGAGTTATGGTTGCTTCTCCCTTCTGGGTAACTGAAACTACATCTTAACGGAAATAAGAACACGCAAAATTAACCCAAGCGGAAAGCTGAACGAATAAATCAAGCCAAAAAAATGTCTTCGCTAAGCAGTAAATCAGCGCAGGAAATTAGCGACCTGCTCGATGAATACGGGATAAAGCACGGGCCTGTGGTCGGTGAGTGGCTCAGATTTAACGTTTAACCGGACTGTGCGCCCGTTTTTGAATCAACGTCCATGCCAGCTAACTTCACAGCCCCCCCTAGTCTGTGTGAAGTTACTAAGTAACGTTACTCCTTTTGTTACGTTAACGGATGAATTTCTATGGTTTTAGCCTGTAACGTTATCCATGTTCATAATATCTTACATGTGCTTTCACTGTTTTGCACTCAGAATCCACCAGAGGTCTCTATGAAAAGAAACTGAAAGAGGCCATGGCCAAAGGGAAAAGAGCCAAACCATCACCTGACAAAACCTTCTACAGAGAAGAAGGTGACTCTTACCTGTGTCTTTCCTCCACATTCAGCAGTTTATACTAAAGATTTACTTTGATAAATGCATGTGTGTAAGTGTTCCAGTACAATTAGTTCGATCCCCGGCTCCCCAGTCTGCATGTAAAGTTGTGTCCCTGGGCAAGATACTCAATCCCAAATTGCTCCCAATGGCGTAGCCATAGAGGGGTGTGTGTGTGTGAGAAAATGTGTATGAATGTGTTGATTTCAGTTTCTGTGGTCGGAAACGTTAAAGAAATGCACTATAAAAGTACAGACCATTTATCATTAATAATGATCAAAATTGAAGCCACATAGGCCAAGATATTCTAACTTTTAGTTCCTTCTAACCTCACTGGGCTACCTGTCTTAAAAAAAATAGGTTAAATAAAAACATTGGATACTACACTTCCCCATAATCCAGAAATGTTGTAATGGTAAATGGTCTGTACTTGTATAGCGCCTTTCTAGTCTTCCGACCACTAAAAGCACATCATATTGACCCGTTCACTCACATTCATACACTGGTAGAGGCTAAGGTGCCAACTGCTCATCCGAAACAGAAATTAACATTCACACACCGATGGCAAAGCCATTGGGAGCAATTAGGGGTTATTTCTAGTTAGTATTTTGCCCTATATACCTTGGCAGCAATCTCTGTACTCGTGTTGGCCACTTGGGTATTGCAGATGTGCAGGAAATGGTACACTTTCCTTGAAATTTAGCCTCATGTTTGTGTTTTGATTTCAGAGGATCAAGTCACCTATGTTTACAGGACACCTGTAAGTATCACTGTCCACGCAGTTTGTTTGTTTTGCATTATTTGCCTCTTGATGCTGAGCGTGACCAGCGTGGGAAGAGGCATCTAAAGAAAACGTGACCCAAGAATTAACCTTCTGCTCGACTATACATACAGTGGGGAGAACAAGTATTTGATACACTGCTGATTTTGCAGGTTTTCCTACTTACAAAGCATGTGATATTTTTATTTTGTAATTTTTATCATACACTTCAACTGTGAGAGAGACGGAATCTAAAACAAAAATCCAGAAAATCACATTGTATGATTTTTAAATAATTAATTTGCATTTTATTGCATGACATAAGTATTTGATACATCAGAAAAGCAGAACTTAATATTTGGTACAGAAACCTTTGTTTGCAATTACAGAGATCATACGTTTCCTGTAGTTCTTGACCAGGTTTGCACACACTGCAGCAGGGATTTTGGCTCACTCCTCCATACAGACCTTCTCCAGATCCTTCAGGTTTCAGGGCTGTCGCTGGGCAATACGGACTTTCAGCTCCCTCCAAAGACTTTCTATTGGGTTCAGGTCTGGAGACTGGGTTGGCTACTTCAGGACCTTGAGAGGCTTCTTAGAGAGCCACTCCTTAGTTGCCCTGGCTGTGTGTTTCGGGTCGTCATGCTGGAAGACCCAGCCACGACGCGTCTTCAATGCTCTTACTGAGGGAAGGAGGTTGTTGGCAAAGATCTCGCGATACATGGCCCCATCCATCCTACCCTCAATACGGTGCAGTCGTCCTGTCCCCTTTGCAGAAAAGCATCCCCAAAGAATGATGTTTCCACCTCCATGCTTCACAGTTGGGATGGTGTTCTTGGGGTTGTACTCATCCTTTTTCTTCCTCCAAACACGGCGAGTGGAGTTTAGACCATAAAGCTCTATTTTTGTCTCATCAGACCACATGACCTTCTCCCATTCCTCCTCTGGATCATCCAGATGGTCATTGGCAAACATCAGACGGCCCTGGACATGCACTGGCTTGAGTAGGGGGACCTTGCGTGCGTGCGCTGCAGGATTTTAATCCATGACAGCATAGTGTGTTACTAATGGTTTTCTTTGAGACCGTGGTCCCAGCTCTCTTCAGGTCATTGACCAGGTCCTGCTGTGTAGTTCTGGGCTGATCCCTCACCTTCCTCATCAGGGATGTGACTTTTCCGGATTAATCCGTAATTCCAGATTTTCCGACCTGAAAATCTGACCCACGTGAATCATGCATATCTGTAATAAAAAATAAAAAGGGGGGGGGGGCTTTGACGACATCTACAGGCTGAAGTGTGTACAGTTTTCTTACTTTGAAGGTATCAGCAAGGATGTTCATTTGCCTGCAGCTACCCATTCCACACCTGCGCAGTGTGTACCACAGTCGCTCTCGCGCATCAGTGGTAACGTGTTGGGCACTAATACTGGAATATTACTTTTCCCAGTAAAGAGTAATGTAACGGATTACCATTTCCTAAACTGTTACTAATCCAAGTAACGCTGCGCTACTGAACGCACCATCCCTGACGTAAATGCACGACTATGTCTAATGTTTACTATGACTTTGTTGTCGATTGATCACTCATGTAGCCTATATAGGCTACAATTTGCTGTATGAATGATTGCTTTTTAAGTCGTCCTTATGTTAAAGGCTTTGGAACGTTATAAATTAACTTCTTGTGAATGGTTGTGAGGGGGTTTATAAGGCCTTTTTGGGGTGTTAGTATATTTCCTGCTTTTTGCCCTTTGCCAATCACATGCCTGCTCATGATCATTGATGCCCCACGAGGTGAGATCTTGCGTGGAGCCCCAGAGAGAGGGAGATTGACAGTCATCTTGACCACTTTCTAATAATTGCGCCAACAGTTGTTGCCTTCTCACCAAGCTGCTTGCTGATTGTCCTGTAGTCCATCCCAGCCTTGTACAGGTCTACAATTTAATCCGTGATGTCCTTACACAGCTCTCTGGTCTTGGCCATTGTGAAGAGGTTGGTTTCCATTTGATTAAGTGTGTGGACAGGTGTCTTTTATACAGGTAACGAATTCAAACAGGTGCAGTTAATACAGGTAATGAGTGGAGAACAGGACGGCTTCTTAAAGAACTTACAGGTCTGTGAGCCGGAATTCTTACTGGTTGGTAGGTGATCAAATACTTATGTCATGCAGTAAAATGCAAATTAATATATTTCTGGATTTTTGTTTTAGATTCCGTCTGTCACAGTTGAAGTGTACCTATGATAAAAATTACAGACACCTACACGCTTTGTAAGTAGGAAAACCTGCAAAATCAGCAGGGTATCAAATACTTGTTCTCCCCACTGCATATAGCAAATACATTTAAAAAAAAAGATTTGATACTCAAATTATCGGTGGCCCATATCTTAAGGCGCTGGGGTAAAAAATGTGCTATGGGCACCTAACATATGTTGAGTGGCCGATTTCTTGAGAGATTATGCTGCCTGATTTTAACAAAATAATCAAGTCAATTATATTTAGATCGCCTATAATTGCACATCTGTTTGCAGGTCCGGAGCGACGGTTCGGGAGACAGGTCAGTTCTTTTACAAAAATATATATATATTTTTATTTTTTTTTATTAGCTCGAAACATTCAGTGTCTTCTGTTTTCAGCCTTCCTGTATTTCAGTAAATTATGAGCATATATAAATTAGTCTAATTCAATAATTTAGTAATTGCTTTTTTAATTGTCTATCTAGTGGGTCTTACATGAGGTCAAGATCAGAGTGGACTGAGAGGGAATATGATGAGTAAGTTGGAATTATTCAAATGTAAGCAGTGGTTGCTGTCGCAGTTGGTGAGTAAACAGGACCGTCACACATGCACTGTTTTATGTCATTCTCTACAGGACATCCTACTCACACTACTCAAGTTCAAGGCCTGAATACAAAGGAAGGGACTTTGTTGACGAGTAAGTATTTATACAAAGTCAAGTAGTGTCGTCAGATGTTATCAGCTGATCAGTCTATTTAGGTTCAGTTTTGCTCAGATGAATCTATCATTGTATACCACCACAGAAGCTGCATCAAAGTGTTAGTTATTTAAAACTTTCATAACCCCATCCCAAGAAAAAAAACACATCCATCACACACTAAGAAGATCTGAACATTTTTGATGAAATGCTCAACCTTACTACTTCATTATAAATAAAGCTGTAACTAACAATTATTTCCATCACTGATTAATATTATTTTTAGATTAATCAAAGTGGTGGAATGTAAACAAGTATATCTAGGCAAGTGCTGTACAGATTTGTAGTACTTGTACTTTTTCGTCGACGTAATCGATTACATAAAAATTATCAATAATTCATCCTGTGTAGTTGCTAGTTTTTTAAGGAGAATTAAAAATTTGCACTTCCTTTTCAGGCCCTACATGTATGACACACCTACCACTTACAGAAGCTCTTACTTAAAGTCGACAACCATGAAATCTGGTCAAGAGGCTCCGAAGGCACCAAAGTCGTCTCGCCTCATCCCACTCTGGCTTCAGTTTGTGTTCTTCCTGGCTGTGGCCGCCTTCCTCTACATAGTTTTTTCCAACATGGAGACAAATGAATCCCTTAAAGGGATAGAATGATCTTTCTTTTTATTTGTGCTCATTTTAGAGGGCTGTTGTACTTTATTATGCATTTTAATTCGAGGAATGTATTTTGGTTTATGCCTTTATTTTAGACATTGATGAAATTGTGGTTTATGCAATATTTGTGTGGGTTGTAATTGCAGTTTAATTGCTTGCTTGCTTACTTATATGTAAAATATATACCTGTCACACAGCTTCAGTACATCACTACTAGAATAGATGAGATGCCACTTTAAAAAGAAAATATTACTAAAAAAAACAACTAAAAAAAACAACTAAAAAAAACAGATTCCTTCAGATGATTTCAGTGGGATCTGTAAAATTTAGAGATAATCATCCACAGCTCCTCCCAGTACAGTGCACACAGCAGTGTTTGGCTTGCAGTGCTGAATATGCAAAGAAATTTGGAAAATATTCACAATGTGCCACAGTACATTACATATCCACAGATCTTGATGTCGGCCATTCAAGCTCAGTGGATTATCATTATACGCTGTTGAGTGAGTTTTGTTTTGCGCATTGAGCATCACAATCAAAATTCCATTCAACTCTATTTCATTATGGTGAGATATGGACAGGGTGTATAAAAGATTTATTTAGCTTCCCAAAATGTTCCTTTTTTCCCAGCGTTATAGTACTTGGTAATAAGGGTGTCTTAACGGTTTATGATCCTGTGTATATTAATGTAAAGAGATTCACAAAATCTTTGTAGTATATCATCTTGGGGTACAACAATGCTTCCTTTTGTCAATTTATCAGAAATAATCTAGTACAGTTGGGACAGTTTTTAGACCAGCTGTAATGCAAGTGCCTCATGTTTTTTTTTTTCAGTGTTTAATAAGCATTTGGGGAAAAGTTTTATCTCGGGTAAAAATATCATACTACACTATTTATACAAGCTGTAATACCATGTTTGTGCTTTGTTTCAGCAGACATAGTTCAGCAATATCACACTTTTGTACTACATAATCCCACCTTTACATCCTGTAGTTTGATGTTGTGATTTGGTTTGTATTGCTGTTTTGTAAGACAAACTATAAAAGAGCTTGTATATTTAAACATTTGACACTTCCAAGTAATTTATTCAGGAGCAAAGCTACATTTTAAATGTGAAGAATAGTGTATAAAAAAAAATAACGAACCCATAGTATTGAATTTGTTAAGTGTTTTCCTCTTACGGAATTTGATCTGATGACATAAAAATGAACCTACATTACATGCAGTAATATTTGTAGACTGTCAAACATAAGTGATTGAACCCCGAACAGCAGCAGCATTTCAATCAACTTCAGCTTCTATTTACAGACTTTAAATGTGGTAATGGACATGTTGTAAATTACATAAGATGCATAGTTGGGTTAGACTTAATACAAAAATTCATTCCATTGATCTGTAGAAGAGTACACAATGAGCTAGTCTGTCTTTAGTGTCACCTGGTAATGAATACAAAACAATGTTTTTAAACTGCATATACAGAGACCTGAAGAGCCCATGTCAGTTTAGTAATGTTTTCCCACTCCATACATCTGCGTCATGGCAGCAGCCGAGTCTGAGTGAATTTGTCTAGCTTGAACCAATACTGACTCCGAAATTGAAATAGTTCTTACTGTCAGTTTTCTGTGTCCGTTACCTCACAGCTTGCCTTAAAAGTCAATCGTATCCATTGTTCCCCCTTTCTTCCACACTAGCCTCAAGTCTGGTATGAAAGAATACTCTAGTAAGTCCAGTAAGAAGTGACTCATCCAAACTGTACTGAACTGGGACCAGGTGGTGCCTTTTTCATAAGGTCCAACCAAGCTGTTTGTTTCTGTGTTAGGTCCCCTGCCGACTGAATCCACGATAGACACGGTGAGAGCCTTCTGTCTGAAACACAAAATGAGTCACTTCAATTCACTAGGGTTGCACAATTATGAATATGGACACAGACGATGAAAAATAAAATATTACAGTGCCTATAAAAATTTTTTTTTTAAAGTATTCACTCCTCAGGTGTCTGGGCAGTCAGCTGCGCAGCTACCTGAGCTAACGCCAGCTATAATTAGCAGCTACTTTAGAAACAAGTAAATCTAGTCTATTTTCTCCCTGAATATTATTCAATTTCACAGGCCAGCCCCCAGAAAAACTCTTGAAACATCTCTCTACGTGTGTGGGTGTGTAGTAGGCTGGCACACAGCCAAACCTGGAAGGATCCACGTTGCTGAATATTTTGTGAATGTAGCGCACGCTTCAACTTGTCTGTGTGAGTGTGTAGCTCAGTCACGCAGACCTGCAGCACATCATACAGCCACGACACAGACAGAGAACAGAGGAGAGAAACCGAGACAGTGGTGTGACCTGCTCGCCATGTCCCGACCTCACACCTTGCACGCTGCGCAAAGGTTGGTGTCCACAAATGTCCCGAACACAAGAAAATACAGGCAGAAGGCAGGGTCTCTGTAGATACAGACACCGCCATGCACTTCTAGTGGGTCACAGTGATGAGTGAGGGGGATCATTTTTGTACGAGTCTATACCTTTTTATATACAGTCTATGGTCTATACTTTGTGCTTTTTTTTAAGTTTCTTTAGGAAAATCCTACTCATACTTTTAAACAATAAGATAAAAAGGATCCAAGAAAATATTAAATCCTCTTTGATTTACTGTTAAGAAGAAGAAAAAAAAAAAACACGCGGCAACCATAGACTGTATATAAAAAGGCGGCAACATCCAGTGTAGGTACCAGATGTGCTTGGGTGCTCAGATCTGCCAGGGGTCCTGGCAGATCTGTCCTATTGTAAATTATGGTTCCATTTAGAGGAAAATAAGACGATAAAGCAGCGTATGCTTTAGGGCAGGACTACCTTGTGATTGACAAGTTGCTACCATGGCGACCTGTCAATCAGGCTAGAGTGACTTATATCTACTGCACTGTGTAAATTTAACCTGCTTCGTTGAACAAGCTTATAACGAGTCAGCTGTTAATTTTTCTGGTAAGTACGTTTTGTTTTAAATCTGTTATTAGCTAGCCCACATTAGCATCATGGTTAAAAATCATAGATAACGGCTGTGTTCGAAACAGAAGGCAGTTGCCTCGCTACTGTAATTGACCACTGCCTCAGAAGGCTTAACTTTCAAGTGAAGGCATCTCTGTTAATTGGTTTCGAACAGCCTTCTTACGGAAACACGTGACGTCAGCACGCCGTCTTGCGTCTTATCTGGCTGTCAAAAGAGACGGTAGTCATAGCAATTGCAAAACTTGAGGCTTCAAAACGGCATCCACAAACGAATGGGGGACGTCATGGTGAGTATGTCCACTTCTTTTACACAGTCTATGGAAAAACCCCAAGAAAATGTGAAAACTTAAATACTTTTTTTATAGGCATTGTATGTGCAAGATTCATGACCTTCAGTCATCAGTTGCCTGCATACCCCGTCATAGCTTGTTAATTGATAAGGCAACATAAGTGTTGTCCACACCTGTAGACAGAAGCACATCTGTTACTCTGGATACACATACACAGGATGCTTTCTAAAAATAACATCAAAGCTCAAAGGCTTCTTAAGGAAAAAGGAACTTACAGGTTCTGGTCTCTCGCTCCAGTTCAGAGGGCTTCTTCTCCTTGTTACACAGTACCTTGGCCACAGTAAGTATAATGATGACAGCTACAAAAAATGTCAGGCCAGACACAAGCCAGCTGATCACCATTGGACTCAGTACTGGATCTGGGTCTGAGGGTGAGAGGAGTTGTCTGTAAGTTACACACAAGGTGGCTTATCATAAATGGAAATTTATCCATTGCAACAAGAGACACACAAAAGCTGTACATCCAAGTGCCAGGAATATCTACATACAGTCTAACTGGTGTGGAAAAAAAAAAAAATGTAAAAATGCTATTCCTAACATATATTGTCTATCTAATGTTCAGTTTCACCTCTGATGGCTATAGGCAGGGGCTGGCTTTCTCTAGAGACAAAGGTTCGTCCACCCAGCTGGACCCGATACAGGCAGTAGTAGTAGCCCTCGTTGGAGCTCTGGGCATTAGGAAAGGTGAAAGTGACAGACGGGGTGAGAGCAGGCAGGGACTGGCGCACTGTGCCATTGGAGCGGATCAGACGCAGCTGGAAGGAACCCCCAGGGTACTGCTGCGGTGTGGAGCAGGTGATGTTAAAGTTGTGGCCTTTAATGACGGAACCAGACGGGGCCTCAGTAGACGTGTTGTACCAGTGGTGAGGAGTCAGAAGTTCCACTGTGATCAGTCAGAAAGGAATGAAATGGGTTATTGAAAAGGGTAATAAGAGTTTTGATTAGGTTTCAAAAGAAAAAAGATGGAGTTTGGATCTGAGCCATAAAACTAGTTTTCCTTCCAACCCTTAAATGTTTTTGGTGGGGTTAAAGCCATCTCTGTGGACACTGGAAAAATCAGAAAACTAGATGAAAAGATTCCATTACATGCAAAATGCACTTGCCAATACCAAATATCAAAGTGGAAAACTGAAAGAAATAAATCAAAATGAACGACAATTACATGCAACACAGCTACAAGCAAACGAAAGAATGACAATACAAATAGCAGTGAAAACAACAATGTGTAACAAAATAACCCAAGCTCAAAAGACTCCACTAAACTAGCTTTCTAAAGTTGTCAACTGCACAGCTACACTACACTACACATGTCAACGTGACCCGTCGCATATTTTTACACTTCAAGTCTATTTTCTTCTATTTTTTAACGCACAGTCAAGGCAAAGGAATTTCTAATCAAAAATGGCACAAACCTATTAGGGTGAGTTGTCAAACATCTAATTTAGATTACACAACAAAAAAAAAGTGCTATGGGACACAGTTATGATGGATTAGACAATGCGGTTACGACTCACCCACAGTGATGTTGATGGAGTTGCTGGGTGGAGAGCTGAGCAGCTGAGAAGGGAAGCCGCCCTTGATCCTGTACCCACAACTGTAGCTGCCCTGGTGGAAAGTCTCTATGTCGGACAGTGTCAGCTCCACTGTGGGCTGGGTCTGGTCCGCCCTCTGTGTAACCAGCGGCGTGGACACTCCATGCTTGTACAAGTGGAAGTCACTGAGGTGGTGACCCAGCAGAGCGCTGCAGCCGAAGCGAACGGCCTCGCCGGGAGAGAACACAGTGTGCGGTGACAGCAGGGTGAGGGTGGGCATTAAAAGGGTACCTGTGAGGGAAAGACACGTTAATCCCAAAATGTGACACCACAAAATCATGAAATGTGAATGATCCCATGAACCACACTCTCACTCAACTTATCAAGTGGGATATACAATGTCCAGGTTACTCTGCACAGGAGTGTTTACATGTACATGTAAGTCAAAGATGAAATGCTCAAGTATACTGAAAATGCATATATGTCTAACTGGTCAATATCTAGAATAACCTCTATGAATAAACCCAGCAGAAATCACTCTGACACTGCACCTTGGTAGATGAAATACCTCAAGTCTCACCTGAGCATTTCACTCCTGCATCATTCTCATGGGTGCAGTAGGAGTTACTGTGGAGGACAACAGCGCAGCGTGTCACACTGGACTCGTGTCCAGAGCACTGGACATGCCGCAGCCAGATCTCTCCACTGCCTGCACCAAATGCTGCACCAGGAAGGGCAAATTCAGCTAAGCCACAGCCCAGCTCCAGGCACACCACGTGAGCCTCCCGGCGGTCCCAGCCATGGTCGCAAACAGTCCCCCACTGGTCATGGCGGAGCACCTCCACTCTGCCAGAACAATTGTTCTCCCCATCCACTAGTCTGACCCCACCTGTGGACCAGATAGATGATTACTTTGAGACTGAAAGTGTGGAGAAGGCTGTGGATGCAGCAGGTTTATAGCAATCCCAGTCTTACCAAAAGCAGAAACTCCATCCCACAGAAAACCTATCAGGCCTGTGAGGGAAATACAAACATGGAATTATTTTCAAGAAAATACAGATTCAAATCCATTCGAACTGTCAGGTTATTTGCACTCAGTTGCTTGTTTATTAGGTACACCTAACACATAAACTAATGTGGAATAGGCTAATACAAAAGTCCTGTAATGAATGTTCATTTTTGGTGAAAACTGAAACATTTGCTGATTCAACTTTACGATAATTTTAGGGGCTGTAAGTTAGTTTGTACTTAAATGGGGTAAATAAGGTATCATAAACATCTCTCAGTATAACACAGTTCAACAGAACCACAAACTACAGTCTCTAAAATAACCATAACGTTAAATTTAAATAAATGCCTCTCTAAATCAAACACCGAACCGTCAGTGAGGGTAGATTTATTACAGGGATGGTGTATTAGACTGCTTTAATTTGAGCCAGGTGGACCCAATAAACGGGCAACTAAGAGCAACGTTACTCTTAACTACTAACGTTAACTTACAATGGTAACGTTAATATCTACAACGTTAATTAACTTAACGTTATGGGACAAGTCAGTTTTTCAGCGTTGAAAGATGCTAAGTCATATTTACATAATAACGATTCGGAAGTCACAAATATGACAAATAACTATTTCTTTTAATTTGGTGAATGAACAGCAGTTGCCAGTGCAATAATGCTAACTAAAGCTCAATTCGCTGCCGGGTTAAGTTGTCCCGTTGCATAATCACAGGACCCATAAGCTACCTAGCTGGAGAGCTTTATAGCTATCTGGCTTAGCTAACCATTATTATCTGCCTTGGCTTACCTGTTAAAAGGATATGGAGGAATCCCAGCATCGTCCCCCTCACCCTTCCATCAGAGGGCTGATGATGCTGACAGCCGTTGAAAGCTAGAGATCGCCCAAGACATTAGCTAGCTTACGTGCTGCTACAAAGGCTTCCTAGCTAAGTAAGAGCTAGCTGCTAAGCAACTTTAACCAACTGAAAGACATTACCGAGAACTGAGCAATGCTAATGCACAATTAATTATTGTTTCGAGATAAAGTGAGGCTGCTGATGAGTCCGCGTGCATGTCACAATAACTGATGTCCATGACTGTTGGGATCACCTGAGGAAAACTACATGCCGTCAGGCAGCCATACTCAGGACAACAGTCTGGGAGTTTAGCCCGGGATTGAGCTGTTCTCCCTGCGGCAGACAGAGGTCACCACATGCCGCAGCGCTGCATTTAAACCGATTTAAACCCATTCACCCAGCATCTTGGTGGAGCACCACTCTGACAGGGGCGTAGCTAAAAAGCCTGGACCCTACAAAGTCATTACAAATACTGTATTATGTATTGTATTGTAGTGCAAACTGTAAGTATACACTTGATTTACCCAACAAACCAACTAATATAGAATATAGCAATTATAAATGCACACATTTTACACATGACTACCAGTTTACTCTTTATGTTAGGTGTTCACCCTGTGAAAACATCTGCTATGTCAAGTCTGAGAAAATAAACAACCTATGCCTATGCTATTTTCTTTTTAAAATGTAATTTGTTGAATTGCCTTTTTGACTAGTTATGACTCATTTATATATATTTTTTATTGTGAATTCAGACAAGCAATGTGTATTGGGTGGGTTTTCACACTGCCACCTCATTGATCACCTATTGGATTTCTGTAGCCCTGAATTCCTCCAGTGTATTGTGGCTTATGTCTGATCTTTAAAGCATTAATTAATGATTTATTAACATTAATAAAACCATTTATAAAAGGTGTATTAGAATGTGGTACCCAGTTGTATACATTTGAGAGGGGGAGGGACGGGCATCAATAGGGTTCCAGCACCTCTGTCACTTGACATAATTATCCACTGTTCAGAGATTTAACACTAACATAGTTTTCCTGCTGCAGTCATCTGCTTTAAACCATGAGGTCACAAGTCTGTTCTTCCCAATTGGAGTGGACAGTATGGACAGATCACCCAAGCCCACAACAGGAAGAAGATAGTATGGCTGATTCACATCTGATGTGTCAAAGTGTTTCACATACAGAGTGACTAACTAACTTTTTCCCCACGCCATATCATGTTCCTGTAATAGATGACTAGGCGTTCCTGTGGCCGGGGGAGGTCTTTTTGTCACGATGAGTCCATGATAGCCTGGAAGGCTTGTGAAGGCAGTGTGTAAAATTAATCCAGCAAAATACAGAGAAATCCTGAAAAGTCTGAAAGAACTTGGGATAAGATTTATTTTCCATGCAAGCCACACAGGCTCCAAAACAACAACGTTAGGAGTCCTGAAAATGGCCAAATCGGAGAAGAGAATTTGTGGTCGGACTTGAAAATTGCTGACTCTTGGTCACAATGCTATTTGACAGACTCGTCAGTTTTACAAAGAACAGGGGACAAATTGCAGTACCTAGATGTGCAAAACAAATACAGACCTGCTGAACACCCTGGCTGTAACTGCTGCCAAAAGTGTCTTTAATTGTAAAGACACTTTTGGCAGCAGTTACAGTGGCATTATGAGTCTGTAAAGACCCTCTAAGTCAGTTTTTTACACAATTAAAAACTGACTTAAAGAGGGTCTTTACATACGCATCTAATGGCATTTATATTTGTTCTTAATTTAGGCCAGTGCACACACTTTTACTTTGGCTTCAGATAATCTACTGAATCATTGTTGTACAACAATATGCATGAAAAGGTCCGTAGGGGTGAATACTTTTTATAGGCTTGACATGTCATGACCGAAATGTGGAAGACTTGTTTCCAGATCTGTGTGACTGTACATGAAGCAAGCACTGCTGAAAAAAGGTAACACATTCTCAGCAACTTAGACCACATGGAAAGAAATGTGGTATTCAGTCACAGAATAAACTCACCACGTTACGTTTCGAGTAAAGAGCAATGGAGAGCCTTCACTCTACATTTTAAGCATTATGCTGATGCTTACATCTGGGAGACATTTATATATTAAAAAAAAAAAAAAAAACTAAAAACTAAAAAAAAAAAGCTCTGACTGAAGACATCCCATCCCCCAAAATGTTTCTTCTTTTTTTTTTTTTAAACAGCCAAATCCTCATGTATTCATTCAAATATTTGGACTTAAGAACAGAACAACAATGTGCAACAATCCTGCTCTATCTGGTGCTTACAATACAGAGCAACAGTAGATGTTTCTAACATCATATTGTCAGTATTAGGGTCAACCACCATATGATTTAACTGTTTCTTGATGCATTTTATTGAACCACTGGTCAAATAAGCATTCAAGTTTGCATTATATTGTAAAAGGTGACTCTTTTTCACAAAAAAACCATACAGATAAACCTGTAAAATATATATTATATATATATATATATATATATATATATATATATATATATATATATATATATATATATATATATATATATATATATATATATATATATATATATATATATATATATATATATATATATATATATATATATATATATATTATATATATATATATATATATATATATATATATATATATATATATATATATATATATAATATATATATTATATATATATATATTAATGAAAAATATGATGATGTCTAATTCAAACTTCAAAATCAGCACATTGTATTTGTGAAACAGAAATCTCAAAATGATCTGAGGTCACTACATTGCAAGGAACTGCACCACTACTAGAACTTCATCTGAATAACTTCCCATCATTAACTAAAAGAGTCGACCTGCACAGTCACATGTGTTGGTACATTTACCATTGATAAAAGAAGACACACAGTCATAAAATAACAAAACATAAAATAATTTAGTTAACTTAACACTAGTCCTCTAAGACAATGACCTTTTCCCCCCCCCCGCCAACAGGTTTTGAGTTTTAATAAAAAGTACCAAGCCGTCTTGAGTTACTTTGATAAACTCCTAACAACAAGCTTTAAATAAAATAATGTGTTTAGCTCTTTGGACATCAGTACAGCCTGCTTCAGTTCCACCAAAAAAAGTCTCTGCAGCACCACATAAAAAAATTTTTGTGCCGGCTTTTTAAAAGTCTTTTGCCCAGTGTGTGGCATCCATTACTTGTCAGGAAACTCTTAACTTCCTAGCATTTCTTCACTTGGAGTCCCCCAGCAGATGCACAATGAGTTCATACGTTGAGAGGACGATGGCTGTGTTAGGGATTTGTCTAATTAGCTGTGGAATGAGTCCTCTATAAAAAGCTGCATAGCCTTCCTCCACTGCTACCAACCTCCCCGTCTGGAAGAAATACTTGTACTTGCTGCCTTCCTCGCGCAGCCTTGTCCGAATGACCTCTGTGGAGACGGACACAAAAAAATTATTAGGCATGTAAATACTGCCTCACATTATGCTGTGTTGCAAGATACAAACAATGGATACGCGTTTACCGTGTGGGTAGGCTATGCAGGATGCACAACCCTTTGAAAAAGCAGCGGCCAGCATCAGACTCAGGAAGTCTGATGCTCCTTTCTCCTTTTCACTATTCGGGGAGAACTGGCTCTTGGAGAGGTGTTTCTTCAGTGTCTCGTAGATGAGGAAGCAGATCATGGTCTCCGAGATGCCGGCATAAGATGCAGTCAGGCCTCGGTAGAAGCCCCGAATCCCTTCCATTTTGTAAACATAGCGAGCACACTGCAGTGCATTCATCTTCTTCTCTCCTTTGGCTCTAAAAAAGTCAAAAAGGTCAGGCTTGTTAGCGGGGGTTAAAACTAAGAACTATTTTAACGTCACCTATGTTCTTTTATTCATCAATCATGTAGTCTAGCCTAGGATTTCTTTATTGGGTAGAATGAGTAACTGCCCCTCCCAACCCATTCATAAAAGCAACCATTTTGTGCTGCAGGTGTTCCTTAAAAACAGGGTGAACAGACTTGTTCCTGTGACCTCACATGATACTACTGCTGTACTGTGGCAATGTAAATATAGACTCTTCTTCTGCACGAAGGACTTTGCGTCATCACTGTGCATTTGTTGAGCCAGGTCACACGCTCAGTCTCAGTGAAGGCGGGCTCTGTTAAAGGTTTCTATTAAAAGGTCAAATCATATCTCGAGTGCCTTTCCACCTGCTAAGTACCTAAAATAAGTCAGATTGTTTTACAAAGAAACACTACAGTCAGTCTGGGGCAGGTGAAGTTTAGAGTGTACACACTTTTTCTCCAGCTGCATTCTGGTCTTGACCATCCAAATAGGGTTCATCAGAGAGTTAGTAACGAAAGCTGAGGATGAGGGGGGAAAAAAGAAGTATGTTCAGTTATACACAGCAGTGTGACACAAGATACATTTCATCCCCTCAGTGCGGCTCATAACAAAAGAGCAGAAGTTTTTTTCTTGCACTCAAATTCACTGAAGGGAAACTACAGCGGGATCACACAGCAAGAGCATAAACATCTGCAAAATATAGTCAGATGTACATAAGTTACTTTTTTGAAGCACATATTGATTATTATCTAGATTTCTTTCTATGTTAACATTCTGTTATTTTAACCACAGACTCTAAAAATATATATTATATATAGAATATTAGCCTTAGATATAATATCTATGCAGGACACTGGACTGCATACTATTTTCTGCTGTTCATGTTATGTCCATTACATGTTTGTAACAAAAGGCTGAAGACTGCATACCTGCAATACCAGCAGAGGACATGTGCACCAGTCCACTATCAGGGACAAACAGCCCATTGAGCTTCTCTTTAGATTTTGAGTATGCAGCAAAGTAAATGGCTCTGAAACACAGAGAACACGCTGGTAAGAACTCGACGCGAAGGCAGATGTAAAGGTTAACACACCGTGCTTAAATATGAATATATTTATAATGTGTGATTTTTGAACAACTGGGAAATTATTTAAGTGATTCCATTTGGACTTGTGTTGGCCTTTGACAGAGTGCATCCAGACCAGTCTGTGCCTTCTCTCTTTGCTCAGCTTCTGGAACAAACCTTTACCACACCAGAATCGGCTGAATAAGCACTGGGCACCACAGATGCCCACAGAGCTGCTTTGAATGTGAGCCTGTCCAGGCTGGCCAGTGGAACTGAGGGGCAGTGGAATAACTGAGCAAAGGATCGTGCTCCGGCTACTCATTAACCATGGGGAATGTATATGTGATCATGACCTTTTCTCCAGTTTAACAAGGTCTCAAAGTCAACATTTTGTGGGAAATGTATTAGGACGGTTTGTGTTACGCTTAACAGTTTACTCGTATAAACCATGAGAAAACAGGACAAAGTAATGACCATTTGCTTACACTAAAAACAGAATAAAAGGTGATATTGAAACTTCACAAGGTGTACCCATGTAAGACACTGAAATTTCACAGACAAAGTGTAATCAGATCAATTATCATCAAGCTCTTCTGATAAGCATGTCTGTCAAAGACTGTGAAACTCAAATATAGTTTAACATATTTGTCTCAAGTTAAGAGACGGTTTAGTCAAATACAGAGGCCTACTCATGTTGACAGACACTCTAGTCTCCACAAACAGCTGATTCGCAGAACTCTTCAAGGCTAGAGGGGAAGTTGTTGCCACGACAATAGCTTCCTGTTTACAAAGCCAGTTTATGATTTTAACCATTAAAGCGAAAAATGTAAACATCCTACAGCTTCCTCTTTTTGTTTTCTTTGGTCAGCGACCATGGTATAATACATTCCAAGGTGTCCTGACACAACAGAATCTACTGCGAAATCACTACTTCGCTTCACTTTGTGGCCATCTGAACCTCTGCTTTGTTAATTGTTTTTGAAAAAAGGACACCTCCTGTACACCAAAAGACGGGTTTCATTTACACAAAGAGAAACTAAAACATGTAGTGCCGACATGAACTTCACTGTACCTTGAGGGGGCCACGCCAACAAGGTTCGGCCCCAGGCCACGGAAGAGTGATCTTGGCCCCTCTTTTTCAAGAATTGACCTAAAACAAAATTAAACAGCAATCAAATATCAAAAACACTAACATGTATTTAACTGAGTTTTATTCATATACACCATGATACATGTTAACCTGCCTCTACATATGTTACAGCAATGGTCTGTGTAGGAGTATTCCTGGGAGTGAGTGTGATAGCTCCCTCCTGCAATCATCCCAAGTGTTACGCCAGTCCTCTTCACTCGAGCCGGTTTTGCATGCGTTTCTTCACTGAACCCAGTGAAGTCCCCTCGGTCATGCATGGTATGTTGAGTCAGCCACATCCAAGAGTTTTTTTTAACTCTTTGTAGTTAGTAACCTTCATTCTCCAGATGACAGTCTGGTCTGCTTGGGGCCAAGCAAAGGGCGACAGTACGTGCAATCATTGCTGGTTTCTGTTACGCACACCTCAGCTCTCAAGCAGCGTTTACACATCTCCACTTCTTGCTCTCTGACACCAAACACCTCCTCAAACAATGAGGAGTTTAAAAAAACAACAAAAAAAAAAACAAACAACTGACATCTTTTCACCTCAAAGTAGTGTTCGAAGTAAAAAGTTTTCAATGGCTTGAGAATGGGATTAAGGTCCATAATAAATTCCTTGCATGTATTAGGTTAAAAATAAAGGATGTCTTGGAAAATTTATTTGCATCAGCTAATGTAGGTTGACAAAAAAAAAAAAAAAAAAAACCAAACTCACAAAAGAAATATTTGTTCTCCAAAAACAAAGACATTGCCTTTAGACATGTGTAACTTTAAAAACTTGCATCTACCGCCTGACACCAGTCCAGACCAGTTCAGTTTGTGGCCCCTGTCCTCTGAATGTAACATAACACTGACACAGGACCCTGGTTAAAACGTTCCCTCCTTCCCTTTGAGTCTGCTTGTAGTCTTCACCAACGTCAGCAGTCATATGGGCTACTTTCACAGACGCCACAAAATAAAATGATTATATTTTAAGGCCTAGTGGAACAGCTGGTTAAAGGCACTAAGTACAAGCTGGATATTGTGGACTTAATCCTCACTTTATGTAGGACAGGATTAGAGGCCTTCATTTAAAGACTACGAAAGCAGAAAGCAAGTGTTTTTCATGGACTACAAACATCTCAACCTCCTTTCCTCATGATAAGCACAGGACTTTATACAACTTATTTTGACAAATTTGTTATGTCAACACCTCAGACATGCCTGAACACAGAGGTCTTCCCAGGGTAGAATGTCACCAGCTAACAATTATGCCAGTCTCTACTCTCTACAGAGTAGTCCTGATAAACAGCCAAGCGCACCAGCTGTGAGGAGAGAACACTTTGTCCCTTTGTTTGCATGTAAAAGGAAGAAAAAAATGCCTCAAGGGGAGGTCCCACAATGCAGGGTGCAGCACTGGTTCTCTAACAACAGCATAAACAAACACCTTACCGTAGGACCTGCAGCAGCCCCGGTGTAACAGTCCCTGGCCGTATAACCCCAGTGCCGTTTAGGGTGCCCAGCTGGACCTGGAAGACTGGTCGGAGGGTGAGGCCAGAGGACTGCAACCGTGTCTTCAACACCTCCAGGGGGCAGGTCATGATGGCTCCCACCGTACCACTACAACTGCAAATTGGCCACACACAAAACAACATTATGAGTCTTGAAATGTTTAAAATCTTGCAAAAAAAGTAGGTGATGTCCCACCAGTCAATACACACATGTTCTGATATTTGTAAATCAATGGTTAACTTGCTTAGAGCACTGAAGTTTTATCATTTGCAAGTTCAGGCTCATTAGTGGTAGCGGTGGGGGTTAAAACTAACAACTAGTTTAACGTTAACATCTATCTTTTATTTATCAATCATTCAGTTTAGCCTAGGGTTTCTTTAATGGGTAGAACGAGTCACAACACCCCCAACCCCTTCATAAAGCCACCATTTTGTAATGCAGGTGTCATTTTATTATTTGCAATGTTACTCAAATCAGCCTTGACTGAAGAGAGTTCTTTCCCATCAAAACACAGCTGAGGAGGTACTGGCCAAGTGCACTGAACAATTATTGTCAAAGGCCAGAGTCTTGTTCTGCAGTGGAAATACACAGAGTTAACCCAACACATCTGGTGCACAGGGTTTTGCGGATCAGACGTTCTAATTGGAAAGAGTTGTTTGTCTGACAAGAGACTGTTTAAGATAGCCACCTTTCAATTTCAGCATTTACAATTCATTCTTTTAGTTCTTTAGAGCTCTCACTGATAAATCCTGTATTAAAAGTGTCTATAACCTTGTCAGTGACAATCTTAAAAGTCTGGAACAGATTAGACTAAGCCTATGTACAGTCAAACATCTTAACAAAGACAGACCTGACCTAAATGCCCATTCACTGATCATTAGTCATATATCCAAACGTATCTGATTTTGTGGGAATTATAGAGAAGAAATCATCCTCTGGTTATGGAAGATTTTTACATTGCATAACCTAAGCTGACAAACACACACCATGTTGTAATAATGTGTTGTGGCCATGACCACTGACCACAAAGATAAAAAATCCGAAGGAAAAGGTGCACGAGTGTGGGCCCTCTGAAAATGACAAGCATGTTGGTTTAAGTATTAGAGTTCAAGACATTGTTTAGACCAAAGATTGTCAAAACAAGCTGGGCTAGTTTTCTGAGTGATCCTTAACTCTGAAGGTAAACAGGCATTTTCTCTACAGTTCTCTCATCATGTTTTAAGACTGCCTATGATATGATTCAGCTAGAGTTAGACTTTAAGCAAAGTGGTCAACATTCCCATCATATTATTATAAATTTGACTGACTTTGCATTTCAAAAACACAGTTCTCGTGTGGAGTTAAATAAGTTAACCTCAAAGGCTCGTCGCAACATTTCAAGGGTAAATGGTGTCATTTTTAACAAGCCGCTGCTGTTTAACTGTGACCTTAACGTCAACTGGGAGCCATCCAGCTCGTCCTTTCAAAGTCCTACACATTATTCGGGGTTAACAAACACCACCATTCGGCCAGGTGAGCTGTTGGCATCGCTGGCACTAGCTATGGTTGTTGCCAAATTATGATTTCCGTGCACTGTCAACGTTACGTAAGACTGAAAGGTTACCTACTCTCGTGACTGCGCCATGTCGACAACTGGATACTAAGTGAACCACTAACTCGGTTTTGAATTAAGCATGACAAAGTCGGCTTTAACATCGCGTGTTATCTAAAACATCACGTTGTTAGTCGCAGTACGAATATGACCTTCATGATACAAACAACTAACAGAGATACCCTGCTAGCTAACGGTAGTTACCAGCTAGCAACTTCCGCACCGACGTAATGCCTGCGGATCTATGGAAATCAAGATGCTGTTGTCCAAGACAACGTTAGTGTTATATCTATGTTGAAAGCTAATACATGTTAAGTGCTAGTCATCATACATCATATAGTCAGCAAGCGAGGAACACAATTAAAAAGGACTAATGCCCACTTACTTTCGAAATATCGTGGTGTGTTAACGCCAGCTAACTATTAGCCCGCATTTACATGCTGCATGTATTAGCATGATGGCTAGCGGCTATTCAATGCTGAAAATGCGTTAAAATTATCGTATAATTTATATTTGGTTTCAGACAGCCTTGTCAAAAGTAGTAATGCAACAGTAGCAAAAAATGTGTGAAGGTCGCGTTGCCTCTTCATGTTACATTAACCTCTGAGTTATTAATACCGTTATTCTGGCTGTAGCTAACATTAGCATTGATTTGACTTAACTTACCCCCCAGCGAACAGATGCAGCAGCGTGTCTCTCTGGGCCATCTTTTTCCTGTCTCAAACAGCCACCATACTTGTGTTATGATCCTCTTAAAATCGCGTTTGTGTGAAAGAGACAGCGCAGGGCTGTTTTAAGATGCCGGTGTGCCGCAGCTCATCTAAATCCCAACCGGCAGGGTGACCTAAAGAGCTACTCAAAACTACGTCAGTGGGTTGGACGGGGGTGTTGTCCGTGACGTAGGCACACGTGTTTGTCACCTTGTGTCTTGTCCTTTTTCATGTTGTTGCATAAGTATTGCTAGCAGCAAAGATCCAAAAAAACAACACATTGAACTTCTGAGTCACCCCGGAACCTTCACGAGTTGCAGTATTGCAATATTCTTATAATTGCATTTATTCATAAATAATGTGATGCATGCAGTACATATTGTGAACAAATACAGCAATACCAAAATATAGAGCTGCAAGTATTGTAAACAGATATTGCAAAAAAAAAAAAAGAAAGACAAAGATGTCTGCAAAAACATTTTCTAAACCAAACACTATCTATTTTTGCACTTGTGAAAGTAGGCCTATAAGGCCAATAACAATGTGACATATCTTCTTTTTTTCAGCATTTTCAAGTTTTCTCAATAAAGGTCTGCTTGGAGAGTGGTGTAGGTGCAAACTGCACACAACTAATGCCACTGACTGGCTTGTTTTGATAACATATCCTGCAAAGGTCAACATAGGCCCCAATGGTACATTTTGATCTGTAATTATTTAATATTTATTACTACATGCAATAGTCTCCACAGACTTTCTATTCTACCTTTGTCTACCTTTAATTAGGCTGTTCATATTGTAAGAAACAGATAAAGGGAGATGAATATAAACGTTTTCATCAGGAAGATCAGAGAACAACAAAGACCTTGATTTTAACTGGATACGAATCCATGACTGGGAACCATGCCATGGAGGACGTGTGATTTTATGTGCTGTCCACCAGTGAGCAGTGTGTTAGAATGTAACTCCCGCTGTCAGTTACTGAGTCACCTTTATAGCACCTTGTTTTTCAGTATGTCTGTACAATAACATCTCTGCCATTATGTCAAAAGTCTTTTAAACCCAGCTGCACTTGCTTTATGTCCTCCTGCATGTGCATTTTAGATCCCACTGGTGTAGTTTTATGGGCGCTCTCAAATATGTCTGGGTTTCGTTGAAACAGCTGCTGAACGCGACATACACCCAAATGTGTGTGTGCATGTGCAAATAAACTTAGCTGAACCTAACCCTGTGCCAGACGATAACAGGGAATAAAGTGTATCAGTTTCTTCTCGGACTGATGCAGCAGTAAAAGAGGCTCAACGCCCCCCGCACTCCTCTCACCACTCCCTGACCCCTTAAGTATTGGTTTCCCTTAGTTCTTGGCTCATCTGCAGGTGGTGGTAGTTTTGGCGGCAATAGTTTGTGATTTTTCATTGTATGTATGATATTCATCATCTGAAGCTTGTTATTTGGTTGCATTTTCACAGAATTTTTCCTTCTTTTATGCACGAGATAAATAATTAGAAATAAATTGAATGTCTGCATGAAAATCACTATATTGCACTTGCAAGAGCAAAAGGGAAGCATATGGTGCAACACAGGTTGTTAGCATTTAGCTAAGCGCTAAAGGAGTCACATTTACAAATTTTAGCAGACTAAACAAGTCTAAACATGCAACTGATTGCAGTGTCTACTATATATTGTGTGTAGAATCACATCACTCACTTTCATATTCAAAGTAGAATTAGTAGTATTCAAACATAATTAAATTGTGCCCCCACATCTCACTGACTTTCAGAAGGGAATGAGTTCCTTTCTGGAAACGACATTAAAAAGAGGGTCCTGTGCTTTTTATTGACAGAAAGTTAGTGGTCTAAGGATTCATCTTCTTGAAATAAATGTTCTCCAACGACTGTGTGGTGTGGCTAAAACAGGATTGCTTAGTTGTGTTCAAGTATTAGTCTCATTCAGCTCAGATAACTGGCTTTAACTACAAATTTCAAAGGTGACTGAAGACTTCTACATGGTCAATACTATGTAGCCTATGTGGGTGTTCAAATTCACTGTCTACCCTAATCTTTGGTGTCAGTTTCTCTACGCAGTGAAATGGTTACAGTAGTTGGAGACTGATGCGACAGTGAGAGAGAGGGGTTAAATCTCAGGCTGAGAAGCAGCTTTCTGTTTTTATGCAACACCTACAGTATCTGGAACAAACTCCCCAAATCTAACTGCAATTTTTATTCTCCTGTTTTATTTTACCTTATTTCTATCTTGTATTTTATCATACTCTTTAAATCCTAAGTGAATGTGTGTTTCTATTTTCCTTTTGTTTATTTAATTCCCCGTTTGCCTTTCCATGCCATATGTAAATACTTCTGAATTGCCTTGGTTGTTGAAAGGTACTCGCTTGCTTTGCCTTGAGAGGTTAAAAGGCCCTGCACATCGACGCAGGGGTTTAGTTATTCTGGCTGATTAGACCGGTTATATTCAATGTCTCAGTAAGCAAGCGTGAACAATGCCAAGAGCCCGAAACCAAAGCAGCTAAATGGAATTCAGCCATCATAAATTTTATAATTTACACCTTTGCGCTCTCTCCAGTCACATTAAAATGTTTTTTTTTTTTTTTTTTTTAAAAAGCACTGGAATTAAAGATTTTAATCTTGATAGTAACAAGGTACCTCAAAATCTGTCATGTAGCCACTATATTGTAACAATTTTCAATTTAGATAAGACATTCATTCCTCCTCCGGAGAATCACAGAATATGGATAAGGTAACGACCATCTTGTACTACCGTATCAACTCCATCTAATGTAATTTCACTTTTCAAGTTTACAGCATTTCATCATTTTGCAAAATACCGCAGCTAATATTTTTTCCATCTTTCACAGTAGATTGCTGTACAATGCAAAACACAGTAGATACTTTGAAATAAACTTTAATAGATACTTACAAACAAATCTACAACAAGTAATACAAATAAAAAGGAAACTGCAAGCAAGGAAGCAAGGTGGCACAGTGTGTCCACATCAGCAGAGTGCTGAATAAGGACCACGTCTGCACATTTAAAAATCCTAGAGTCAAGAAGTCTATGATATGGCATTTGACAATATGTTGGCAATCTAACCTTTTAACATTTGTGCAGCACTTTGTGGATTGTCTTTTTCTGTCATAGTGCCTTAAATCTGAAGTTTCTCTCCTTAACATGTCATAAAACACAAATAGTACATCAATGGTTCTCAGCTATGTGCCATTGAGACCCAAAAGTAGCATTTCTTTCCATTTCAACGAACCACTTCAGTGGCCATTTCATTGGTTAGTTTCCATTCTCCGCCTGAATTATGTGCAAACCCCGTGAAATCTGTTGATAAGAGACTGGTTGAATTAAATTTAAAAAAAACAAAAGAAACCCCAGTACTCTTGACTACAACAGCATGTGGTTCAAAACTACTGCATTACAAGGAAACATTAAAAAAGAAAAATGACGTGATTGTATAGAGAAAGATTTCCTGCTGATGCATGCTACAAATAATCACAGTGACATTATCCTTCCGTTAAAATTCCTGCTGATGATGTTCTTAACGGATGCCATATTTGTAAGCAATGGGGCACACTTCCATAAAGCTGTGAGTGGTCAGAACTGCCACAGTGCATTCATCCACACTGCACTACAGACTCACTATGGAGTGGTCAGCATCTCCTTTCTGTGTATGGCATTTTTTAAATTCATAATCCATTTAAAAACCACAATTTCTAAAAGCAACTAGTATTTCATGTCATAATTCTTAGTTTGAGTGGATGTTCAGGTTGATGTGTGTATGTGCTGCCACCTTGTGACCAGATACTGGCAATGCACTTCTGCACCAATGCTCCAGGTTTAGCTTAACTTCTATCACACACACACACTTGTTTTAGCACAACCAATAACATTAAAATTTAAAATGGCTACCTGATAGAAATTCATAATCAAAAAGTCCAGAGGTCACAGCAGAGATACGGACCACATGTGCCACATTAACTTACAAACCGGAGGGGGTACACCAACATGGTGACCATCTGGATCAGCTAATGCATAGTGCTCAGTGATTCCTGATTTTATAAAGTTAGAGAATACAATTGCAAAGAGTCATAAAAACAGGGTAAGAAACTCAAAAAAGGAGTCCAGCCACCGACACAGAAGCATACTTGAAGGCTGAGTCAGTCCTGGAGGCTTGAGCAATGCTGTCAAACGGGTTCAACCCAAGAAGGATCCCAGAGAAACATGGAGAAAGAGACCGAGTGTCACGTGACTGTCAGCGCAGTCATTGGTAAAGCAGGTAGTTCTTGAGAGAGGCCGGCAGGGGCAGTCTATGGATTTCACTCAGACGGTCTCTTCCTAGTGCCACCCTCACCGAGCGCCTACACAGGTCCATCAGAGAGAGTGGTTCAGCTGTGGGGAGGGGGAGACAAGAGGTGAGGAAGAGCATATTTAGTGTGTTAGCGAATCTCATTTCAGGAGTGTGTAAATGTCAAGCCTTAACACAAATCTGAGAGATACTGTGTCATGTCCATTAAATGGATAGGCACAATACAATAAAATAATGCAAACAGAGGGGGAGTGACCTGCTATTAAAAAGGGAATGGAACACTATTATAACCTTTATCTTCTACTGCCATGGAGAACACAATAAAAGCTTGTGGGAGATAGTCATTCTGAGATCATTCGCAAAGATCTTTGCATCCATTCTACCCATTTCTGCTTTGAAATATAGGAATTAATTGCAATAAATCTAAAATCAAGATGTTGTCTCAGTGTGTGCAGGTTCCATCAGAGGAAGGAAATTCAAGGAGGAGGGATGAAATAAACAACATCCTCAGAGGTGATATTAACACATCTGTAAGGCAGTGGCTCAATGCAAGACAGTTTTAACACTCCTAACGTGATTGTCATTTTGGGTTGGCATCTTGAACAATTTTGTAATACTTTATGAAATTATTCATTTGTATTCTATTAGGTCAAAGAATCTGAATATATTTTGGTACAATTGTCAATGTGTGCTACAGACATTTTCTTTGGCTTTCAACACATATGTTCATTATCCAGCCTTGTTGATATTTACCATTAGTTTGGTAAGTGAGCCAGAAAAAGCAAGAAAAAAAAAAAAAAAAAAAAAAAAAAACTATTTTACTTGCAGCCATATTTTTTAAGCTGCAGTGCCAACCCTGCATACTGGATCAACAGGACTGACTACATATTGTGAGACTAACCTTTAACATGAATGTATAAGATCATGGACTTCCCACCCTCTCTACATCCAACAGTAAGAGAAATGTCTTAACTAATAGAAAGTGTCTGCATCTGTAGCGCTTCTTTTACGCAGGCCTAAACTAGGTCAAGAGATCTGAGCTCTACATAAAAATCTAATGAGCACAGAGCACTTGGGACATGTGGGTAGTACAACATGTTTCAATAAGCACCTATGTTTTCCTCATTTAAATGGGCCTGACCCTTTCACCATGGAATTATTGGCATTAATCCAATTAGTATCCATTCTACACTTGTCTAGGGAGGAAAACAAACAGCTTGTCTTTTTTGGTCATGAGCATGTTTTTAAAGCAATAAACACTGACATCTATATTGGAGGTGCCACAATCTAGTTTGAAGACAAAGTCAAAGTACAGTTCATGACAAAAGCTAGGGCAGGTTACAGTGAGATCACATATTTTCTCTGGTGACTCCTTACTAAGATTAGGACACATCATCATTCACATATGGAGGACAAAGTGAATGAGGGATACAGTTAAATATTAATTTATGTGATATGAAGCACAAGGCAAGAACAAAAATAGTTGTGTTCTCACATGTACCGCTTTACATAATACTGATTTAAGTAACCCTGTCTGCAGTAAATGTCCTGCTTCGACAGTGTGACAAACCCTGAACGGTCACACCTTTGTTTATTGCATTAATAAATGGCGCGACTGGTTGTGTAAGAGCTGTATGTAAGACATCATCATAGATGGCAAAACTGTTTCTCAAGAGGGAAAAGACTAACAGAAGTATTTTTTTTTGCACTTACGATCAAGTCCATTTATGTACCGGATTCGTATTTCACAATGTCCCCACACGGCGCTCACCACCGGGTACAGCTTCCTGCCTTTAAGTCCTCTGAACGCCACCCCTAGATAATGTCCATCCACTATGTAACCCAGCGTCCCCTCATCCATGTCCAAGACTACTAAGAGGGAGTCTGGTATAATGAAGGTGTCGTCTGGCTCGAGGAAGGCTGGGTAGCTTTTTCCTGGGTGATTTTTGCCGTCGTGGTAGAGTTTACTCCTGCACAGGTCCCAGCCCCACGACTCAGCGTTGCTTCCTACCAAAGCTGTGTAGCCCACAGAGTGTAGCGGGGCATCAATTGTAGCCACTCCAACCACAGCGTGCGTGCCCCTTTGACGCATAGCCCAGCTGATCTCCCACACGTGCAGTCCCCTTGTATAGCCAACACGTCCCCGGATGGCGTCCGTGCTCTGCGCCACAGGGTGCCTGTGAAACACCAGCTTGTTGTCATCCTTGACAAATATGTTCAGTGAGCGGTCATCGTTGTTCCATGAGTTCTGGACCTGAACGTCCATGCTGGCAGGTGGCATGTCGAGCAGCAGATCCAGTCGAGATGGCTTGGTCCGACTCAGGGCCTGTAGCTCCAGCTTCAGGGGGCTGAACGCCGGATCCCGCATATCAATGGTTTTAATGCCACCTGGGACTTTTTGCCCCATGCTCTGGGTGGTTATAGCAGCTCGTTCCTTCCTCCTCCCCCCTCCTCAAAATACTAATGGGGGGAGTGTTCAGCCTCAGACCCTCTCCTCCACTGTTCTTCTGCAACCCAAGAAGCAGGCGTGTGCTCCTGTGTCACTAGATGTAGACAGCGAAGGTCAGACCAGGGGTTGTTTGAAGCCTACCTGGGGAGATGAGGCGAGATGAAAGCAGATTACTTTGTTTTCATTTTTAACTAATCAGCCATCTTTCTGTTTGGACCGAACATTAGCATCCTACAACACAAGAGCTAGCTAAACAAAAAGGCACAGTGTCTATCTTTTCATACATACATACATACATACATACATACATACACACACCCCCCTTTTATAATGACATCACACAGCATTTACTGGAAATTTTACAGTGCATGTTCACATTTAAAAAGGAAAATTAACTCAATGTTTTAATGCGATTAATTTGGTAATCAGTGGGCAACAACTGATATTAGCTGCGGGGCTGTTAAGTGGCTTTCTCCTCATGTGATGCTTGGTGTCTGGAACAAAGTAAGCAGTGTACCATGACCTAAAAAAAATGTAAACCAACATACCAATTAGTACTGATAACATTTTTATACAACATGGATCAGCTGATCACGGCCTCACTGGAGCCTTAGTGAAGATGGTAAATACTTCAATAACAGTGTGCCGTATTTTACTATAATCTAAAGTCCAGAAAAGTCAGACAGTAGCAGGACTGTACAGCATATATTTTTCTCTACCTCCCTACCTCTTCAGTATGATATCGAGCCAACTAAGACTAATGCTGCGTTCCAGGCAACTCAGACCTGGGAAATTTCCAACCTCCAACTATCCTGGAACGCCACCTGAAGTCTGGTGGCGTTCCACAAGAAGATTCCCTACTTGTGAACTCGGATAAAAATGTACCGACTTCACTAGTAGCAGCTGAATTACGTCACAAAACAATGTCAGCGCCCATGGAAGCATAAGTTGTAAATGGTAAACCATAAACTAAAAAAAAATAATTATAGCTGTTAATTTAAATTAAAATACATACGGTCATATAGTTCTGCATGTACCATTGACGTAGAAATATGGGGGGGTGGGAAGAGAGAAAAAATATATTCTGATTCCAGCGTCTTAAATGTGAATATTTTCTCGTCTCTTTACTATTCTGACAAAAAACTGAATGCTGAAAACTGAGCAAACAACTAATCGACAATGAAAATTTGTTAGTTGCAGCCCTATAGCAACCACACTTAAGGTGTCTGCTTAAATCCCTAAATTTAAAAAACAAAGAGCAAAGCAAATGCATTCTATTTTTCCAACTGTGCTACCCACATATAACATTATCCAACAGTGCACACATTGTGACACATAAAGCACATAAAGTTGCGCTTTAAAGCATTCTGTTGGGTTAATTCTGCATTTGAGTAATCCAACTCTATGTAGAGGAAAAATAAAAAAAAACAAACCACCTGACTAGCTGTAATGAAGCTGGGAGAAATTCAATTTGCATGATTAGAACGCAGAGATGGGGACTCGAGTTTGAGGATTGGACTCATGTCGCACACAGTGACTTGAGACTCATCCTCAAAAGACTTCAGACTTGACTTGGACTTTGTGGTAATTGATGAACATAATCATTTACGTCCCGCTGGTTGCCATCACGTTAATTATTAATGATGGCTGCAAACATTACATTGATCATGTAATGTTACAATTTTATTTAGTTAACGTTACACATGGTTTGATTGTGTGTTGACTTACAGTAGGCTAGCTAATAAGCTGTCAAAATTGCATTGCACATTACATGTTTGTGATCTGTAAGTGAAAAACAGGTTACAGTTACAGAATCCTTATAGCTATGCAGTGTTATAAGCAGCCTGGATTGAACGCAGCAGGTGATACAATGCTCATTATAATCATGAGTGACTTGAGACTTTTCTTGGACTCTAGCTCAGAGACTTGTGAGCATCTGTTAGAATCTCACAGATGCGCAATCTCACAGATAAGCAATCATCTAAAAATAGTTAGGACCAAACTGCCCTATGTGGCATCACCTTAAGACAACAATGGTACACCTACAAAAGACAATGAAACATGTCAGTGATATATTCACATTCATTAAAAAAAATAAGCACATCAAAGGATTTATTCAACATCCTAGATCACTTAAAATGTGCAACATGCTACCTTGATCCTGTTCATCATCATCAGTTCCTAACAGTTTATAAGACATTAAGTTCCATAAAGCAATAGTTCTCCAAATGGGGTCTGGGAATACCCAGGGGTCCTTGAGGGGGGTTCCAGTGGGTCCTCAGCAAGAAGGGGAATAATTGATGGTCATAATTCCATCCGCAAGTAACACGACAGAATGTATAACTATTTGGGTCATGGGTTTCACACACGTTCGCAAAAACCCTATCAGATGGGGGACCCTGGGACAAAATCTTATCAAATGTGGGTCCGTGGTCTAATTTGTGTCAGTTTAGGGGTCCTTGATGTGAAAAAGTTTGAGAACCACTGCTATAAAGGGTTTAGAGCTCTACAGGCGTAACTGGTAAACACTCATGTTATGTGCTCCTTTAAGTGACTCAAACCTGATTTGATTAGTTGTCCTCAATTTTACATATTACTTCCTCAGCTTTTCTTGATAATGCAGAGTCAATCCTAGAATGTATAAAACATGATGTTGCCAATTTCAACCACTTATTAAGCAGCAACAAAACAAACTGACAACTAGGGACTTCTCCTGCACAAAACTTGAAAATCATGTCCTTTTTCTGGCACGCGTACACAACCATAATTAACCATATTTGGTCAAGTGATAACCATAAAGGTGTAAATAAATAATCTTAAAAAGGAGAATATAATAAATGATTTGGCTCTATGCATTTTGAAATGCCATCTAATACGGTTGGTTTCTCAAAAGCTAATTAACATGAAAAGCAGCGCTCAAGTAGAGGCCCTCCATCCACATTACTCTGCTACTATTCCCACAATCTCCAAAAAAAAAAAAAAAAAAAAAAAAAAGGGAGGGGAAAAACTCCAGCCATTTATTATATGGTTGTCTAGTCAGAGGCAACAGGAAAAGCAATAAAATGTCTGGTTAAAAAAAAGAAAAAGTTCCGTCGCGTTTGAGGGAGACGTAGCCGGACCACAGCTCATGTGAGGCAGAAACCGTTTCAGAAAATTGAAAATGAAAGCCTGATAAATACCTGCTATGCTTCACTTCCACTCCATCACAACAGACCACAGCCAGGCCAGTGTTTCATAGTGAAAACCCCATTTGGTCCGATACGTCACACTGCGAACTAAGGATCAATATCCAAAAAGACATAATGTGACTTTTTGTGGGCGCAGGTGTGACTACTGCTGCTCTTTGGTCTTGGTCCTTCTGCCTGTGCTGCAGCTAGCCTGAAGAGCGCATTGTGTAATGTGGAAAACTGTGCTGCTGGGAAGGCCACTCTAATTGAATTGTAGACAAGAGTTCATTGAGAAGTGCTTTGGCTCTTATTCTAATGCAAGTAAACAACCATTTAAATGGGTCATGTCTCTTCAGTGATTGGAAAACAGGAGGGAAGAAAAAGCAAGCAGCGGGTGGCCAGCATCTGAATGTAAACAATCTCCTTTTCAATGCCTGTCCAGTATTCAAGGAGAGTGAAACATGTTAATTTGCACACTTTGAGCCAGGGGTTTACCGTTCCCTCTCACTGTGGCAAAGGGCCACCTTACAGCGCACACAACATGTTCAACTAAATCAAAACTAACAGAACAATAAAAAGGGTCTTCCCACATTTACCTTGGACTTCAAAACAAACATACCCATTAGTAGTATAAAAGGTGGCTTGTGGTAGGATATATTTGGGCTGGGAACCTGGCCTGGTCGGGGTTCCTGGGCCCCTGGGTTAGTTTGGAGCTTATTAAAATGCAAGAGGAAGGGCTTGCTGGATTTGCTGAGCTGAGGAAAACACTTGTCTCTTGTAAGGCCCAATATAGACCAAGCCCACCTGAACTTCAGCCCTAGCCTGTTTGTTGACCTGAGTACATAAAGCTCAAGGTTTACCAAAGACAAAGTCATCCATCATCCATTGTACGGCTACAAAGCTTGGATGTGTTATGTAGAAAAGGGTTTCTGAATATAAAAACAGTCTGACTTTTCTATGTCCTATGATGACACAAACTGAAAAGTGACATCTTTTGTAGTTCTCTATGCAATTACCCTTTCTTTGGTGTAATTATGTATGCTACACTCACTCAGTGCCAGTTTATTAGGGACACCTTACTAAAACAAATGCAGTCTATTACAATAGCGCTGCAATAAATCCTTTCTTAATAAAGGCTTTAATGTTAATTTTTTGTTGATTGCACTCTTTGGAGGGTGTAGTTTATCGTGCTATTGGGCTGTATGACATTAAACAGAGGTTCTTAATACAGCAGCAACACTTAATGGATTAGTTGTCAACTATTAAATTAATAGCCAACTATTTTCATAAACAACTAATCACTGAGTCATTTAAGAAAAAGACAAAAATCTTCTGATTTCCGCTTATTAAATGTGGACATTTTCTGGTCTCTTTAATCCTCTATGAGAGTAAACTGAGTATATTTGGGTTGTGGATAAAACAAGACATTTGAGGATGTCTCCTTGTACTCCGTCACAATTTTCTGACATTTTTTGGGCCGAACAGCTTATCGATTTATAAAGAAAAATGATCAACAGATTGATCGATAATGAAAATGCATCTCAGAATAATGCCATCCAAGTAAAACTTTATTTATATGGTACCTTCTTTAAAAAAAAACAAACAAACACAATTTGCATCAATATCAAGCACAAAAACAAACAAGAACATTATAAAGTCAACGCACATGCGACAATAGAAATCATATCGCAACCTGACACCACCCAGAGCACACTATTGGAACTGGATTTTAAATGTTGTTTGAAACAGTCAGCACACTCTGCTGATCTAATGGGAGGGGTGGGGGCTGGGTGCTAGGACAGCAAACGAACTGTCGCCTTGCGTTCGGTGCGTGGATAGCAAACAGATTTTGGTTGGAAGGACCTAAGTGGACACTCCGCCATTTTTTGAGCTTTGTAGGCAGGAGCTAAGCCACATAGTGCCTTATAAGTGATTAACAGAATGTTAAAAATCAATACTGACCTTCGCTTCAGGAGTGATGTGCAGTCTATGACCAGTCCTAGTTAAAAGCCTAGCTGACGCATTTTGTATAAGCAGAAGACCAGGGCAGTTTGACAAAAGGAAGTGAAAAGGCATTGCAGAAGTCAAGATGGGGAAAAAAATAAGGCATGAATGATGCGTTTTATATGAGGAGCCAGAGGTGATTTTCTGATTTAACCAGTTTTGGTGAAATGGTTTAAGTTTCCCCCCAATTGAGGGTCACATATGAAACGCCAAGATTCCTAGAGTTTGGTTTGACACAGGGGGCAAGTGGGCCAATATACTGGAAAATGACGTAAGACCCAAAACCCATGGTTCATTTTCAGGGCCAATGGTCAGAAGTGCAGTTTGGTCAAAACTAAGTTAAAGATGGAAGTTTAGCTGTGATAAATACCGGTTGTCACTAAACAGTTGTGGAAAGTATCTGGGTTGTTAAAATCATCTGGTTTTACTGAAACATAAAGCTGAGTGTCTTCCGCATAACAATGATAGAGTATAGAACTGATTATATGGCCCAAGAGAAGCATCTACAAAGAAAAGAATGGGCACAAGGACTGATCCCTGAGGCACCCCAATATAACAGCAGGGCAGATGAAGTCACATAGTTACCCAAGAGTTAAGTTAGAGACCAAAAACCATCTGTTTGACAAATGACACAAACCACTGGAGGGCTTTCCCTGAGATACCAATGCAACTACTTAATCTGCTGATGAGGACGGAATGGTTGATGGTATCAAAAAGCAGGCTTACACCAGGTAAGCAGAACTAAGATGGAGTCGCTCCCCCTTGTCGACCTGCACAAGGATGTCATTTGAAACTCTTAGGCAGTTTCAGTTGGCTACGTGTTTTAGGAAAGCCTGATTGGAATTTACCAAATATATTCTTCAAATAGAGGAGCTGCTCAACAAAAAGTTTTGCAAGTACTCTGGAAATGGAAGGTCATTTTGAAATGGGTCTGAAACAGTTTGAAGTCAATAGTAGCCTACCACTAACTAGCTTCCAGAATGACCATAAAGTTGAATAAACGCCTCTTCAAAGCCGTTTCGACAAAAACAGAAAACTTGTTGTAACCTTTATGAAAACACAACGTATAGTCTGTTGTACTGAAGTGCATTAGCCCAAGTTATATTGGCAGCGGAGTGCATGTAAGTAGGCCTTCTGGACCCACAATAGCTTGTCATGCTAGCTAATGTGAAAGCAGCCTAATCTTCACAGAAGCTCTCGTGGGCCAAGCAGCCTGTGTGCCCCTGGCTGAAGGAACGTCCGCGCGTGAATCAAGCGTTACTGACAATGCTTTTGTTCACCTGAAACTCGGTCGCATCCGAAACGTTTGTTACACAACAAGCAGCACGACCCGTGTTAGCATAAACAGCAACACAACATGGCTAACGTTAGCAAAGGGGCGAAGACAAGAGACAAAACAACTCGTGGCTGCTTCTAAACTGGACGTTTGGGAAGTGCCAACCTTTCTGCGGGTGTTGTTTTCGATATCTAATGTGTGACGTAAAGATGAACACAGAAACCGTAACAAGCGCTTCGGCAGCCACCATATGAGCAGAAAACAGGGGGAGAAAGGGGTAAAGAGCACCTACCAAACAAACCTGGTAACGCTGTGAGGCAGTGAAACAGCAGAGCGGATGAGACCGGGAGAGGACTCAGGCTTCACCTACTCCATCGTAGCTTTCCGTTTCCTTGTCGTCTTACCTTTTACCACTTCAGGCTGGACATGAATTAGGTGAACTGGTGATGGCTGCTCTCTAACATCACTCGCGTCACGTGGTAAAATGCTCCCAGCTGCTACGCTAGATTAGGACCTCCCCACTGACTGACTGCAACCCGAGCGACATTGGCTTCATTTGTAAATTAGTTTATGCTTTTTTTTATTATTCATGGGACATGTTCAAGCAATTTTGCACGCATGTGAGATTAAAGAAGATAAATCCCCTTTATAACAACTGCTCCACTTACTGTTACTGCTATAAACACATTTAAATTTACTGTTGACATGTAGAAAGGATGTTTTGTAAAATTTCAGTGATTTCATTATGCTAAAAAGCCATTGTGGCAGCTAAGAGGTTATATTAATATTTCTTATTATTATTATTAGTAGTAGTAGTAGTATTTATTATAGTATGATGAACAAAAAAGTATTATTGTAAATTGTAAGAAATCGATTGAGACTATTAAAAGTGCTCTTTTTGACACAAAGTATAAAAAATCGATTTTTTAAATTGTCATTGTACATTACATTACATGGTACAAACACAGAAAATGTGTCTTCACAGCTGTAACTCTTAGGGCATAGTAGTTATTAAATGTCAAATTTGCGGCTGCATGAAAATATCCAATTAAATATTAAAAGGTCAAAGATTGTTTTCAAAAACATTAGATAGATTCACTTATTTGACAAAAATATAACTGCACACACATAGTCTTGACATACATCACATAAAAACAGAAATAAAGGTAAAATCATTGGGGTCCTTGTGTATTGATTTTTTTATTGGCTGTAATTTGTTCATCAATGACTGACAGTAAATACTGAATGCAATATCCATTCAACAGCCTCTCCCCAATATAAAACCAACTTCAGACTAGTGCATCACCACCACAGGACCCTTACTGTACACTGTAATGTGTGATCTAAACTGCACACTGCACTGGGATCACTTGCTGAACGAGTCAGGTAGGACATCAAACTGCCTGCCACCATTTACTTCTTTGTTAGTTTGGTGTGTCCTCCTCAAATGTATTGTAGGGACAGGAGTATGCGATTATGGTCTGTCCTAAGGGCATGCATGTGATGTGTGATACTGAAAGGAACCATAATTGATCATTCCCACACATACCATATGACCAACTTCAGCAGGAGCACGATATTATCGACAGCACCAGTGAACCATGATTGCTCACACACTGAAACACTGGAGCACTTTGTTGTTCAACCTTGACCTTCAGGCTATTCAGTCCCTCGCTGACCTGGCTTAGGAAAACAGAGAGTGACGTTAAGACGAGTGGAAATCCTAAACATCAGTCACTGCTGCTCAGTAAGTCCCAATCATACTCCAATGACTGACACACTGACCCCTGGGGGAACATCAAGTATGGTGATTGACGGGCAATTTGGACTGACAAGGGTGATGCAGCCTGTACACGACCTTCACGTACAGGACAACTGTTGGTCACTTCAAATATCTTCAGTAACAGGAGCTCATATCCAACAGTTTCCATTCATAAAGGGAAATGGACACAAGCACAGTCAGTTTTTCCATAATAATTACCCCAGTAAATGATGATCAACTCCTATTTAGTTTTATTTTATGCACCAGACACTGACAGCTATAAAAGCCTGTTCAGAATTTCTTCTAGCCCTGTATAAGTCACAGCATATGCGCCAAATTACACCTGGAGTGTTGGGAAATATTAACACATAGTTGCCATCTAGTGGTTTCTCCGAAATATACACCCTCTGCTGGATGTTTAGAGCCCCACATTAGGTAATAAACTCAGTCTGCATTAAGCACAGCTTCATTCATTTATCACTTATTCAGAATAACATTGAAATCCTTATAGAATCACACGTTGCACATGACAGTACACGTGTGCCCCCTGAACAAGTGCTTAAAGATGTGAATATGAGTGGTTACAGAATGAACATCCTCCTTCTCTTCACGTCCGTCTTAACTTCAGCATTCATGCAAATTCTCCCATTTAGCATCACATTTCTCTGTGACAAGGACTGGAATTAATAGGACATTTTAAATGACCTTATTTGTCCACTGTGTGAGGCGTCTGAAGGTAATATGGCTCATTTTACATCCTTGGTGTGGAACATAGCTTGGTGACTTAAATTACCTTCCCCTCAGCTCGTCTCCCAGTGAAAATCCCATTTTCCCATACGGTGATGGTGCAATGTGCTGAGCTTGGTGATATCTCAGGGCCCCTCCACAGTGGAGGAGGGGAGTGCAGACATGCTTACTGCCTCCCTTTTAGAAACCATCATTTCAGCAGGATCGATAGTACGTCCCACTCCATGGCTGGCAGAGTGCACTGCCTCCATAGGGGGGGTAGGGTGTGGGGGTTGAGGATGGGGATATGTGTGGACAGCCGCACCAAGGCAAGTCCGAGCAGCAAACGTAGCCAAGGTGAATGATCGCATGCTGCGTCAGACACTCAGCTCCTCACTTCACATCAGAGATGCAGTTTCCGAGGAGGACCGGTGGGTGGATGCTGTCCTCAAGTGGTGGTTGCAGTTGCAGGCAACATACTGATGACGCCACAGAACTAGTTCAGCCGTCAGGTACTTCATGTTCTGAGTTTTTTGCCTCTTAGCTGACTCACACACCTGCCTCACAATGAGTAAAGAACTGCAACCAATGCAGCTTGTATAAAACCCTCCTGATGCCCTTTTAAAAAAAAATCATCCTTTAATAGATTGATGCTGTTGTAGGTGAGAAGATATCTCATGTTTCAGTGGATGGCTTGCAATATAAGACCTGTGCAGTCCAGCTTTGTAAAGCAGAAATCTCTCTGGACAGCAATAAAAATAATCTTTACCAGTTACTAGAGTAGAGTGCATGGACAGTGAGCCTTAGAAAATCACAAACTGGGAAAACTGACCTCTGGTTAGATATTATTAACAACATATTGTTCAAGAGGCCCAGTGAGGAAACATTTAACACCAATCTTAGCACCACTGTTTAATGTTTTTAACCAGGATGATCTCTTCTTTTGAGAGTATTCTAGCCAACAATTAGGTTACAAAAACTATTGATCACATTTGTATTTTGGACAGATAATTAATACACTTGATCTAGGGGGGCAACTAACACTTATTTTCATTATCAATTAATCTCCTAACATTTTTCTCAATCAATAAGTAAAACATGCCTGTCACAATTTCAGAACTAAAAGTGGCAAATTCAAATTTCTTGTTTTGTCACACTAACAGTCCAAAGCCAAAACTATATTCAATTTACAATGACATAAAAAACACAGAAAAGCAGAAACTCCTCACACTGGAGAAGCTGGAAAAAGCAAATGTTTGGCTTTTTTGCTACAAAAGTGTCCTAGACGATTGACTGATTATCAAACCAACCAATTCGATTAATAGACTAATTCTATACATTTACAACTTTAATGACATGCAGTCATGATCATGTATAATTTTCAAAAATTATGCATAAAACACAAATTATTTTAAATATAAAAGGACAATAAAAAGATACAGTCTGGTCATTTGTGAAACTTAATATAGATTTACCATTCGGTTTAACATTTCTATAAAGAAGCAGCACAAGAAATGTGCAGGGTTACTTAATCTCTTAGCCGTGTCTATATGTGTACATGCGTCAGCAGGCATGTATTTAGCGTGTGCTGTGCTTGTGTGACTTTGAGAAGCTGGTTTAGAGTAAGGAAAGGGCGTCAGTGAAGAGAGGTGCACCACTGCGGGACAGGGGGATGTGGACGGGACAGGATGTGTGGTGCAGTACGAGCATCCCCTCGGCTCAGATCGCTGCTCATTTGTCAAGTTGCCTGCAGACTTGAATGGTGCATTGCTGCTAAAACACAGAGAGGCAATCAGCAGTGGAACAGCACACCTCCAGGAAGGGGTCCCAGGTGGACGAGAGCCTCCTTGGGTGATCTGCAGATTTTATGAAAGCCGCTGAAACTGAAGACAGATTTGTATTGTTCTTACAGAATTATTTCATATTAAGGCACATTTGGATACCTTTTGTTGTGTTTTTTTCAGTGAATAAAAAGGAGCAGCATGGCAGCATTCATCAAATCCAAACTAAAGCCAGAGAAAATGTTATTTTTGAGTTTGTTCTACTTGGAGTTTGCTGTCAGAAATTGACTAACTGTCTAAAGCACAGCATCTCCTGAGTACCGTTGAAAAACAGAAATCATAGAACAAAGAAAGTAATTGTTACATTTTCCACTTTTACAATAAAACATCCCTTTTCCAGTGTGGTTTCAATCATCCAACAGACTGTATTGTAGTTAGTTTGGCTTACACAGACTCTGTCTTGCATATTAGCAGCACTGAGATGTTCTCCATACTGGGACAAGCAATGATGCCGAGTGAGGTCACAGCATTAATGGTGGCCTGGTTCTGCTGGTTGATGTTGCAGTAGACAGGTAGACCCATGGAGCTCATCCTGCAGATCAGAGCCAGAGCGAGGAGGTGACCGGCCATTCTCATGCTCACACAGCTCGTGAGATAGCATCCAGGACACGAGCCTTCTCATCCATCGCACAGTGGTTTGGCAGATGGCGAATAAGGGCTCTCACGTGGTTGAGGCTCTTTTGGCAGCCTCCATAAGGCAAGTGTGCATCCACGAGCTCAGCGTGGGACACGTCCATAATGGAAATTGGCAGCGTCAACACCTTCCTGGTCCACAGAGAAAAATTATGATCATGAATCATGGAAATGTATTTCATATTTTCTAATCTCACTCATCAGTTGCAAAAAAATAATGGAGCTGCCTTGAACTAAGGGCATGAATACATTTCACAAACTCACTCTTGGCAGTCCATATTCTCCTGGCTGTGGTGAATGAAGATGCTGTAACTCCAATATTCTGTGATATCCAGCCCACTGAGAGAGGCAAGTTTTTTTGATGATGTGAGCTTGGTAAACCTTTCAGCTAAGCGAAAATTTGTTTTTATTTACCTTTATCATTAGGGCTATTGGCTAGGGATGCACCGATCCGGGTATCCAACAACACTAAATAATTAAACATCTGTATACCAGCACTG